GGCCTGCTTCAACTTGTTCAATGTGCTGGTATTGCAAGGTTTTTTCACCAATTTGTCAATGAGCTGCGACTTAATTGCTCAGGCTCGTGCACAACGTTATAGCTTTGACGTGTTTCAGAATGTGCCTGTTCTAAAATTAGGGACCATTGATGGCTCACTGTGCTTTCAGATTGCATGCATGGTTTATTTTTACGGCCCCGCCGTGGTGGTCTAGTGACCCGCAGGTCGCGGGAATCGAATCCCGGCTGCGGCGGCTGCATTTTCGATGGAGGCGGAAATGCTGTAGGCCCGTGTGCTCAGATTTGGGTGCACGTTAAAGAACCTCGCGTCTCTCATAATGATGTGGTTTTAGGACGTTAAACCCCACATATCAAATATCAAATGGTTTAGTTGTACGAGATGAGAAAACTTTCTCATCGTTGGCACAAAACCAACAAGCTGTGTGCGAATAAAACAATAAAAAGCGTGCGAAGAGTGTTGTATGCTGAGCGTTTGCAGTGTGTTGCTCTTGCATGCATGTCGGCCATGGCCTTCAACGTTTGTCCCGACGAAACTTGCATCTCTGTATTTATTACTGCAATAAAGGACCAGTGTCCTCTTCATTTGCTCGTTCATACAGTATACAGAAAGGTGTCAGCAGCTCGTTTGATTCAGGTACGCTAGGTCGATTACTGGCCCAAAGGTCGCGCGATCGAATTCAGGCGGCGGCTGCTGCATTATTGATGGAGGTGAAAATGCTCAAGCCATCTCGGCTTATTGAGGTGCACGTTGAAGAACTCCCGGTGGTCTAAATTTCCGGAGCCTCCGCTACGGCCTCCCTACGTAATCACATCGTACATTTTGGGACGACAATTATCGTCAGTACACAAAGGTGAGTGCGTCATCAGCTCTTCTCATTCAAGCACACTGGCACGCAGGGCCGTACCCAGAAATTTTGTTTCGTGTGGTTTTTACGTGAGGAACGGCTAACTTTGGCGACTGCATGTTTGATGTGAAGGCGTGGAAATACTTCAGTATCACCCGAAGAGTTAAAGCACGAAAAAAAATTCGGAAGGGGGGTTAGAGCCCTCTAGTTACGGGCCTTACTGGCACCCAAATTACCGCTGCGTCATTCTCGTGAGGGATGCGACGTCTTGTCAGAATGTCAAAGTTCGATTTTTTCGCGCAAAAACGAACAAGGATTCTTGTTCGTTCGTTCCTGCGTTCCTGTCCAACGCAAGAACGCCCGTTCCGGCGTTGGACGCCGTTGCCGTCGGTGGCGTAATTGATAGACACAAGAAAAATAATACCAGGTGCCCGGGCCCTCTGCGTGGCAGTCGAGTATTATACCACGTCTATAGCCACGCTCCCGGTGCTTAAAGCTTCATTAAAAATTGCAAAAACACAAAGGCGTCATGTCGGGCGAGGAATCGCGTTAACCCACGTGCGGTAGAATAAAATAACAAATCAGTCATCACACAACGATAACTGCGCAACAAGTACGTGGTTTAATGCTTTGTTTTTTTTATTAAATGTATGTAAGGAGAGGTTTAATGCTTTATTCCCAGCCATATATATATGTCATCGTCATCAGCGATATGCAGCATCATTAAAGTGCACCGGGTACCTCGCTTATCCGCGGCAGGGCGATGGCGTAGCGGGTGCTTTTCTGCTTCAACAAAAAAAAAAAAAAACGGGGGGGGGGGGGGGGTTATGGCGAAGTCGATACCTTGAGGAGGGCCGAAACTTCGCAAACACTGTTGCCCCTGTGCTGAGCTCAGAATTGGCACTAGGCAGTGTCGTAATCATCGGTAAACATTTTTCTGTTCTTTCTATGCTTTACTCTCTCCCCAGCTCCCTTCCATCCTCTTTACCCTCTCTTTCTTTTCCCACTTACTGGCTATACTTTACAGCACAAGGCTTTGCCATGCTTTCGAGGCGTGCGTGGGGTCCTGTGTTTAAGGCGCTCGCTTTTTGTATATATCGTGGGCACGCGGGTTAGAATATCGCCTCACCAAAAACTTTTCTCCTTCTCTCGTTATTTATTTTCTCTCTGTGTGTGTGCTCGTTCTCCCGCTCATCAAAGTTATTGCATCCCACACAGGATTAATTGGTGCACGCGTTCTGAGAGTAAAGCGCAACAGAACGAATAATTATTTATTTAGTTATTCAATACTGCGACCTCATCGTCTAAGCAGGGTGGTTAATGCTAATACGAAATAAGTATCAATGACAGAGAAACAACCACAAAGCGTGAAGAAAGTTATATTGTTGTCCGATCGCATGTATTGGCAGGTCAATCCTTTCTAATGGGTCGCGGAAAATATGAGTATACTTATGCCAGAGCGAGCAAAATATGGGGTTAAGGCGTTTGGGTGGATGAAAATGCAAGAACGAGCTGGATCGTGCTGATCATAATTTTTCGCCGATGACAGACGACAAACATCAAGCGCAACAGCTCTGCAGTAGAATATATGCAGCTATGATATGGTGCAACGAGTAGCGGAATCGCACCCAATCGGACCAGCCTCGATTGCCCCTTGGCTGTATGACACAACACGGGGGGGGGGGGGGGGGAGAGTAAGTGATTGTTGAATGAAGAGAAGAGAAAAGTGAGCCACGTAACTGTCTGTCAGGGGGAGGACACCTCAACAGTAGCTCACGAGGGGTGGGGGTAAGGAGGGATTAAAAGGTATAGAGATGGAGAGAGGCGAAGGAGAGAGTGTGGCGCAAGGGCAGCGACATCCGTAAGTATTATAAGAAGAAAATAGGAGAGATGGACACAGTCGCTGGAGTCCGAGGACAGGGCACCACTCGGCGAGAGCTCTTGTCGGCGTCAGGAGATGGCGTAGGGCGAGCCAGTCGGCCAGAGCTGCGCTGTCGTCGGAGATCGCAGGGGCACAACTGGTCGGCACGAAATCTAGCGAGCCACGGAAACATCCAGCTGATAAATATCCCTCTTGGGCATTTCTGTGATTAATTTAGAAAAAAAGGGCGTTCTTACACAGTCTTAGTGATAATATCGTACTAAAATAAAGCACGCAATAGTTTACAGAATACGTATACACATGGAGCGAACATTGCGCGATATAACCAATCCCCGCGATATAACAATCGGCTTGGCAGTCATTGGTGCCGAACTATATTAAATGCGCTCTTATGGTCTAGTCTTATAGGCTGTCTGTCTGTTGTGCGTATAAACGGAGTTGCACGCATGTTGACAAACGCGCGCGGCTGTGTTGACTACACTTTCTAATACCGATAGCATGTGATTGAGTTCTCATGTGAAATTGAAAAAAAAAAAAAACAAAGTGAATATATTTTGTTCATCGTTAATTGGCTAGGGTCTCGATTTAATAAGTAAACTCTCGATTGGTCTTTACACGATCGAGAGGTACCTGTCAAGAATTGTCACCTTGCAGCTGCTTTACCAAGCAGTCGCATGCCCTCCGCCTTGATCGCATGACTGACATTCGCGATAAATTGGTTTCACGCTGATATCTCCGTTTGCGACTGCGCAAACGGAGATAAAAGAAAAAAAAACTACTGTCTCGCCTTAGAACTGGCTCTTTAACACTGCTAGCGATTGCAATAATTTAAAAAGGAAATTTCCCCTTAGCTGGAACACTGTTGAAGGCTGTCTGACAAAGCTACACCGTGCCTTCTGTATTCAAGGGGCCTCGAACATTTTCCCTGTCGATGCATTTATCCTTCCCCGCCCCCTTCCAAAAGCTCTCTGCACCTAACGTATTGGTAGGTGTTCTGTGACGTAATCTTGCACTGCCTTCAGGATTGAAGGCATTGCAAACGTTCTGCACCTCACCTGGTTTCGCATTGCTCCTTGTCGCTCCCTTGATCAGCCCTCCTTTCCTCGAACGATGGATGTCATGTGATGACGCTATATTGACATCATGGTGACGCCACAAATTACTGTCATGACGACATTATATAGTGACATCAAGTGATTATTAGGGACGAAGCTCCTTAGGGCAGTGGGTCTGCCCATCCTCCGTCGTTGTCGTGCGTAGCCACCGGGATGCGAGATGGGAGATGGGGGTACTTGGAGTGTTCACTAGATGGACGTACAGACGGACGCATGAACGGATGGACCGAGACACTAGCAGACGGACGGATGGATGGACGCGTGGAGCGGGTATGTGCCAAAGGGGATGCGCGATTGTAGTACTTAGAGTGTTCACTACATGGCCGCACGTATGGACGGACAGACAGACTAGAATACGGATGTACAGATGGACGGACAAACTGATGTATGAACGCATGGGTGGACGCACGGATGGTCGCGCGGATGGACGGAATTAAGAACGAACGAACGGACGGATGCAAGCATGGATGGGCTGACGAACGCTTCGCCCCACTCATCATCATTCACTCCGTGGATATGCTGTGATTTTTTTTTTTTTCATCAGTAATGCTATGCCAACGGCTTACGTGGGACACCGACTGTCAATTTTTGCATTTGACGTAGCATCTGGGGCTTTCGCCTTATTGAATAGGAGAGATAAATACAGCGCTGGGTGGGGAAGAAGTAGAAACAAGGTCGAAACGATGATCACACAAGATGGAAATGGTCAGGGGCGTAGCTAGAAAGAAATTTATGTAGCGCGAGGCCAAAAAACGAACACGGGAAAGAATAGACTGAGAGGACAGAGCGCTCTGTTCTGTCAGTCTTTTCTTTCCTGTGTTCGTTTTTTCGCCTCGCGCTACATAAATTTCTTTCAAATGCTTCACCAACAAGCCCACATCGCCACTCTTGTCGTAGCTAGAAAGTTTTTTTTTTTCTTCGGGGAGAAGGAAGGGGGATTTTATACCCTCTACCTTCTTTCCACTGTAAAAATTTCTGCAAATTTTTGGGGGGTTTGAATCCCCCTCACCCCCACTTAGTTGCACCCATAGAATCAATGATGCTGCAATGCGATGTGGCGCATTGAATGTCGCAAGCGAATGCAGCGCTATTTTTCTTTAGCGGAGAAGACAGTTCTTGCGTCGTCACGCTAGTCGCGCGCGTGGAGTGCGTCCACTATTAAGGACAACAATCCCTTCGAAAACGTCGAGGCCACCTCGACCTATTTCATACGTGTTTTACACAACCGTTGCCACTTTGGGTTTCCCCTCCGTTGCTGGTCCCTCACATCAATTTGCAGCCGGTTAAGCTGTCTCGCTTGCGATCATGGGCACACGGTCGTCACTAATGCTCCAAGAAGAGGAAATTCAAGAGATCCAACAGGAGACTGGCTGTGAGTTGTTTCGGTAGTCACCCTAGTCAGCACTTGTAAACGCAGTTGTCGCGCTTTTTGACGAACACACCCGCTCATCCGAGGTCATTCTCGCAGTTTCGCCAAACCAGATCGAGCGGCTGTACAGCAGATTTACCAGCCTGGACAAGACTGACAACGGTACACTTAGGTGAGCGGGTATGCGAACTCCGCGCTGCTAGACTTGGATTATGCGGACGATGTTCTTTACAAGTGACTGTCGTTCCAATGTAAATCCATGTCAACATGCGCGCTTGTTTAAGAAGCGTGACAGTCTGCTTTTAACTTTTTTCCGACTTTCTGTCATGACACCGAATGATCGTGTTGTTGACGACTTTTCGTGTTGAACCGAAAACGCGCCAATTACTGTACTTGTATATTGCTGCGTATCTTTATTCTCCCCTTGCACAAGCGCTGAACAGCTCAACCGAAAACAGCAGTAAAGTTAGCGCTTCTGTTGCCGTGTAGCTTCATGCGCGCAAGTTTGTGGTTATATGTCGTGTGTGTGTAAATAGTGTGGAACATTGTCAGTGTTGTGACTTGTCATACGGTGTTGCTTGCCTCCGTAACAGTGTATTTATCCACGATCATTTTCCTGCATGTTCCCGGTTAGGATTAGAACCATTTGAGACGTCGCGCTTACGTTGAACTTTGTATTGTTTGCAGTCGCGAGGATTTTCTGCGCATCCCAGAGCTGGCCATCAATCCACTAGGCGACCGCATCGTGCACGCTTTCTTCATGGATGCCTACGACGACCGCATAAATTTCCGCCAGTTCGTGCGGGTTTTATCACGTTTTCGCCCCTTAAAGAAAAACAAGGAGAACAAACTGAACAGCCGCGAAGAAAAGCTGCACTGTAAGTATCGCAAGGAGTGTTGCTTATTAGGGAAGGGGGAGATTCGCCAAAAACAGGATAGTATACAAATGATATGCGCTACCGGCACTCCCGGCTACTCCCAAAAGTAGCACTGAATAGGGAAATGTAGGCGGCAAAGTTAAAACCAATCATGATACTAATTACTACAAAGATTGGGTATACAGCAACCAGTGCAGTTCTGTGAGACTGAGATGAAAATAGTGTTGGAGATGCTCAGTCTCTGTGGCATGTGCAATATTACACAGAAATAAGATTTTGGCCGAGTACTGAACAGGTGTAGTGACTGGTCGAACCAAGCACAGCAGTTCAGTTTTTATCTTCGTCACAACAAGGTCGGCAGCGGAGTGAAAAAAATTGCCGTATACTCCTCCCCTGTCTCCTTCGTTAAAAAGCCGCACCACAAGGCCTCAATGCAGTTCGAATCCAGAGCACTGGGAGGTGAACTGTGTGCCAAACATGTGGACTGCACAATCTCCTACTTGTGGTGTGGCTGGCTGTTTATGGAGACGATGCATGCGGTGTCGTGCCTAAAGGATTACCGCCACAAAATTTCCGCCGCAAATTTTACCTATAACATTATAACATCAATATTGAAGTGTTTGCCATGTAATTTCTCAACTAGCTAGCATAGGTCAGCAAAAAAATTTGAGCTCACTCAGTTTAATCAAGAAACACATTTTGCTCTTTGGGCTCACTTGGACTCACACTTGCCAGAATTTTTCTCAATTGGACTCGCTCAGACCTGGAATTGCCAACATATTACTCAGCCGTACTCCCTCAGACTCACGGCTTGACCAGAGTCTGAGTTAGGGGACTCAGTAGTTCCATTAGCATAAAATTAGCTTTTTCAACTGTGGTGCCAATGCTCCTGTACGTCATTATCTGTCATATTCAGACCTTTTCAGTACACCTTTACATCTTGTACCTTCAAATACGAGTTATTAGTGATTTCAATCTGGCAACGACATTTTTATGAAATATGTGACCCATGACATATGTTTTTATCACAAACTTCCACTGAAAGAGCTTGTGGGAGGGGGGGGGGGGGGGGTGGTTCTCATAGCACTTTCACCTTTAACTGAAATATGCCTCTGATCAACAAATATTACAAGAGTGGAAGCTTGGGCTAGTTTGCGTTGTCACATTTGCAAGTTTTTTCAGCACGCGAACATAGGAAAAATAGACTGGTTGGACAGAAAGAGTGCTCTACCCTGTTCTTTTTTTTATGTTTGGATGCTGAAAAAACTTGCAAATATGACATCAAATGTTAGCGAGGCACAAAAACGCTAGTGCTTTGAGATATGTGTGAATAGGGTTGAATGTAAACATAAGTAGTTATCGGGCCTATGGTGATGCTGAAGTTTACTAAATAAAGCCGTAGGTCAGCAATAAAAGGTGGAGCTCACCCTGAATATATATTGCACTGAGGGCTTCACTCACTAAAGCTCTCCAAAACATTACTCACCAGGAGCCACTTGGACTCGTTGCCCAATCTGAGTCTCAGTGAGTCAACTCATGAGTGAGTTTGCCTGCCTATGCCTAGCAGAGCACCTTATGACATCGACATCAGCGGGCATTGATGGTTAACAACCAACAGCCACCTTAAATTGCCCTTGCATGTGGTTTCTCTTGTGGTTGTCAACATTGTGCTTACATGCACATTGCTGTTTTTTGTGGGGTCACATGGCCAGCTGTATTTATAAAAAAAAAACAGGCACACTGCACCTCTTTCAGTGCTTTCTGAATCCAAAGCTACGACTCGGCACTATAAAAGCATCTGCAAGGATTCAAGACCTCTTATGCAGGACCAGTCAGTTGCTCCATGCGGCATGCCTTGTGCTTCATTGAAATGAGATGCACCGATATCACTGTCAGTGGCTTTCTAGCAACAACTCTTGCACAGAGGTGTCGGGATCTAATCTAAAAGCAACTCGACTTGCATGAACTTTAGTTTTGAAACCTGTGCTTAGTTTCTGTTGGTTGAGAAGTCCACACTCTGCTAGATATAAACATATATTTAACTTCGAAGTGCTTTTGTCAGGGCTGATTGGAGCGACATTTGTGGAGCTCCGCAGAATGAAAAACGGGATGAAATTAGGCACATGTACAACAGGACCAGCACTGGCCCTACTGTACTTGTGTCTAAATTAATCCAATCTTTTTGGCTGCAAATATCTAACTTGGCCTTTATTATAACATCACATTATTACTGTTGCAGTTGCCTTTAAGATGTACGACCTGGACGACGACAACAAAATCTCCAGGGATGAGCTCTTGGCTGTGCTGCACATGATGGTTGGTGCAAACATATCTGATGAGCAGGTGTGTTGTCTGGCCTTGATATTTAATGCTGTTTTTGGTGGAGGGGTTACTTTTAATGGTTGCGGCATTCACATAACAGCATAGCAGAATGTTTTCTTGGGAGTCTTCTATATAGAGGCACCAACTGGAGTATAATGCCTGTTCTCAATATGCTTGTTTTCAGTATTCATGTAATGCTTGTTCTCATGGCTACTGGTGGCGATGACTGACGCTCTCACACTAAATGCTTATACATACCCTATAGAGTTGACAGGGTGACAGCTGCTGTAGTAGCTCAGTTGGTGGAGCATTGAATGTGTTATTCAAAGGTCACAGGTTCGGTCCCTGCCCACGGCAAGTTATCTGTTCGTTCACTTCTCTTTATCCACATTCCCATTACATTTATTACTGAAAACATCCTCTATACTTTCCTTGGCAGTTTTGTTTGTTAGCTCTCATTAATTTTGTGTGTTAATATGAAAAATGAGCCCTTAGAATTTGTGTTTCTTTCCTTGTTTCCTTGATAGGACCTCAATGTTGATTTCGTTAGCAAGCTTTGCTAAATGTCCAATGTTAAACAGAACTCTGCAGTACAGCTCAGGTTCAATGATCTGATGAGAACCGGCATATGTGCAGTGATATTTTTTTTCTAAGGTGTGTTAAAATTGTGGCAAAACAGTGCGTACTATGGGACAGTAAACCATTATTGAAAAGTTAGGGCATGGGTAGGCAAGAGCACGGTCAACAAAGGTGGGCACCAACATTACCTAGTGACTTCACCTGCTGGCAAACTTAAATTTTAATAAAGATAAACAGCCTACACAATCAAATGAAAAGCAGCTTTCATGAAACGGCATTCAAAGGTGATAAACAAGACGGGACCAGAAGTAAGCAGCTGGAATGAAAATAAATATTGAGATGGCAAAAGTTGGCAAACAACTAAAGTCTAAAAAGGAAACGTTTGTTAGCAGGTAACAAGGCACTGCAACCAAGAACACCAAAACAAAAAAAAAGCATGTGACAACAAGTGTGCTGTTTCATGTATATGCTCTAGCTTTTCAGGGAATACCATGAAAAAGCAGTTGATAGTCAGCACTGTGTCACGTGTGTTACACTGTCTCATCATTTGCGCTGTTCTGGCGTGATATTCCTAAACCAATAAGCCCACCTGAGAACCCTTATGCTTGTTATTGGCCCTGAAACACTTTTCCAAATAATCACAGAATAGCTTCACTGAAGGACTTTTTATCCCACCAATCAACTGTCGCAAAAAGTTCTAGAATCTTTCTGGTGCAAACGGAGTTACAGGTATTAGTTGCAGGCTTTAGGCACTTCCTCCTTTTGTGCTGGTGAGTGCACTGAAGGTTACTTGAGGAGGGGGTTGAGGATAAGAGGGCAAAAAGCTATGTCGGTTCATCGATGCTGTCATGACCGAGAACACTTTCTTTTCTTATTTTTTTTCCCTTAACCTCATGGTTTGTTGCAATGTCTTCTGCCACGGTAGATTGATGACCTCAGTGCTCACCTGCAGACCTAAGGGTTGCGGGTTCAATTTTCGCCACAGCAGTCTCATTTCAGTGGAGGCGAAAGTAGTGCAGCCTGTGTTCTGCGCAATGTCAGTGCAGTTTAAAGAACACTAGAAGCTCACTTGTTTCACCTAAACTTCAGAATTTGTTTTTTGAGTTCAACATGGAGGCAGCGGCACCGCAGTATTCGTTTCAAAAAAGCCCATCTGTCATGCAAGGCTAGTTCATGAATTTCCTGCACCTGCTCGTCAGGTAGTGCCATGTCCATGTAGCACAAGGTGGCTGCAGCTGTAGCAGACAACACAGCCAATTGCATTCGTGTCTGTTTTAGCGAAGTGCTACAAGTACGACAGTGAACATTTCCCGGTGGACACATGCCAAGCAACGTAAGCAGCGGCGTCTTTTACGAACCTCAGCCTCCACAACCCTGAGAGCATAGGGTAGCATAGAGCTGGCGCGACATGTGCACTCTCATATTCGTTTCCACATGTTTCACCCCTGCTGCAATTGCTGAAAGATCACTTGCACGAAGACAACACCCAGACGGCACCACCGTGAACTAGTTCTGGAAGTGCAGGATGAATCGAATGGATCTTAGATGGTCGAAATCTTTTGAGCCCTCCTCTGTGGCGTTCCTCGTAATAATATTGTGGATTTGGGACATAAAGCCCCAGATATTATTATTACATGTTCTGTGGAGACTTGCCGATCGATAGGTAGCATTTTCTGACTATGCTAAAAAGTGTTGCAGAACCCCATTAGCACTTTACTTCTTTTTGCCTGACATGATTGGCAACATGCAAAAAATGAAATATCTAAACTTAGGTGAACTAATTATTCTGTTTTGTTCTAAATGAAGAAATGCTTGTTTCTTTACACCATTACATTACACAATATTCATGTACTTGAGCAACATTGCACATGCAAATTATGAAATATATTGCTTTTTGCAGTGTTGTCTCTCTTCATTGCATTGGTTACATTGCCTTGCTTTGAATCAGTGAAACATTACCCACTTTGCATTGCTTCATTTCCCATCAGGATCATAGTATGCAGACTGGAGTACATATAAGTGATTTGCAGATGTTAAGTCTATTATTCTGTTCTGACGACTCCACATGCACTGAAGTTTGCAAAAAGTTTGCAAACTTCAGTATCCAAGGAAACATGCAATTTCATAGCATTTTATGGATGCAATCAATAATAATAATAATAATAATAATAATAATAATAATAATGGTTCTACATCCCGACACCACTATATGATTGCACAGGATGCTATAGTGGTGGGTTCTGGAAAGTTTGACCGTCTGGTGTTCTCTGATGTGCACCTAAATCTGAATACACAGGGTTGCAGCATTCTGCCTCCCTCCAGATGTGGCTTTGATTGAATCCCACGTCCTTCTCGTCAGCAATGGGGTGCCATAAGCACTAGACCACTGCAGCAGATGTGAACGGCACCTACATAACTATGTAATGCTACATTGTGCACATCCAGTACCATTAAAAGTCGCAAAGCAGAGTATGAGGCTGTGAGAGTTGGGCCATGCATGGAAACAGGGTTTCTCAAGTGTGACTAAGCATGCACTACCATTGAAGGGACACTAAAGAGGGACGTTCACTGCTGAGAGCTCTAATGCCATTTGTTTCACTAGCATAAGTTTATTACTAGTGGACAAAATCAAGGCTGAAGCTTTATTTTTAAATATCACGCCCAAATCTCCACATGTGATGTAGGAAATTCAAAATGTATTTTCATGGCATTGGCTCGATGAAATTTTCTCAAATTTCATATGCTCAGCCAATGGCACCCACAGATTATGTACTTCATCTTTATTGATTGAAAGCTACGTAGGACCCAGTAAATGCCTTAAAACTTCTTGCATCACTGTGTTTGGTGAGGGTATCTCAAGGGGGCGTACCCACCCACATTTTTTTTTTCCACGTTTCTCACTTAGTAAGTGTTGCATCACCGTGAAAGGGGCATTTTCAAGATTGTGAAATTGTACTTGACTGATATGCAAAAAATCGTTCTGATCTTTAGTATCCCTTCAACTTTTTTCTTTTTTTTTTTTTTCGTTCGGAGCTTGTCATAGTTACGCTCGAAAGTACCATGGTTTTTGCTTGTGACTTTTATTTAATTAATGTACAGTAGACTCTATGAATGGAACCTGAAGGGACCAGGAAAATGTGTTCCATTTAACTGGAGTTTACTGAGAGATTTTACTGAGAGATTAACAAGGGTGAGAAGTATGAAACCAATCGTGCTGATGGTAGTTGTTCCGTTTAAGCAACAGTTCCATTTTAACTCCATCATTACCGCACGAAAATGGCTATTTCTTGTGTCTTGGAAATATAATTTTTTCCAGTTTGAAAAGTACTCCAGCACGCATTGCAGCATACCAAATTTTGCACAATAAATGTTCTTTCCAAGAAATATATGTTGTTAAGCAACAAAAGTATTTTAAAATGAATAAAAATGTGAAAAGTGTGTTAGTTTTAGTAGCCAGCTGGTAAACAGTGCAATAAAAAACAATACACGCAAAAATTCAAAGGTGCACTAAGTGCACCTTTTAAAGAGTAGACGTTTGGTTATTTTTTTTTTTTTAAGTTTGTGCTTCCTGGTGAAATACATCCGAGTGCAAGGAATAGATCTACAATAAAACTTGATTAATTCGAAGTCACTGGGGCCGCGAGAAAGCCTCGAATTAAGTGGGTTTTCGAATTAACAGAACATATAAGAAGTGGGATGCAAAGAACTTGACACTATTCAAAGTAATCAGTGCTCGTCATTTGCTCGCCTGCACCTTGCTTCGACAGCACGTCATGATGCGACGATTTGCACATTCTTTCTATTATAATTAGGATTTTAATAATGGCTAGTATGACGAAGCTCACGATGTGTTTTGGCTGGAAAAAGATGATCTTTGAAACATTCAAACTTAGTTTTCGAAGTAGGTGTTGCTGCCGAGAACTCCGCCAGCAGTGCAACGACGCGAATCGCTGGAGCAATCGGAGGTTTGCATACATCACGATTTCTGCTAAACTGTCCTTTATTAATTTCTTCACAATCCCAGTGATAATGGGTAAATAATGAACCACTGACGTTGCGACAAACTTGCAATAAGCTGCCCGCGTGTCACCACTGTGTTGAAGTGAAGCACGACTCGTTTTCCGCAGGTGCACGTTTCGGTTGACCATGAAACAGTTTTTTCTTTTTTTTCTTTTTTTGCGCTGGAAGTAACGAGGCTGAGGTGCTTCAGCTGCGACTCGTTAGTATTGATACGTTGCATTGCCTTGTGGCTATTATTAGCCGTCGTTCCGCGGATTCGCGGAGAAATCGGGATCGAACTGGCACATGGCATACAAAGTTTTTGAATTAACCGGACTAGTGCCGGCCGTTGCTTCAAATCACTCAAACTTGCGTTGCAAAATACGAAGACCATGGAAATCCTTTGAATTAAGCGGCACTTCGAAATAACCGAGTTCGAATGAATGAGGTTGTACTGTATTTGATCTGCATCATGTTTATGAATGAGGTGCTTTTCGTCTTTTAGCTGGCAAGCATTGCAGACAGGACCATAATGGAAGCCGACAAGGATGGTGACAACATGATCTCATTTGAGGAGTTTTGCGCAACACTGGACAAGACTGACGTGGAAGAGAAGATGAGCATCCGGTTCCTCAACTAGACTTGTCTTGCAACCACCTTCGCCGTTTAAGTTATAGCTGTCTACACATAGACTTGTTGTTCCTTGTTACTGTTATTCATTGTCGTCAAAACTTTTACAGAGGCTTCTATGTGCTGGCAATCATTCCAGTATTGCTTTTACATGTACTGCTAAGAGATCAAATACGTTTTTTATGTACACCAAACATCTCGCGTGTGTCTGTATTTCTGCCTGTTCTCCTTAACTAGTAGAAAAGGACCTATTCGGCATTAGGGTTTCCTTTTCTCAATTTTCTTTGCTGTTACCCACCAACCACAGACACTCAGTATATTTTAATTTAGATGAAGTATAAACTGCTGATGCCGAGAGGAATTGTATTGATATGTAATCATTACCGTTCTCTGTTCCCAGAATGTCATTGTAAGGAACTTGAGACAAATAGGCTGTGGACGGAAATCTCAGTCGTGCAATATTGCACCCAACCGTGCTTTACCACAAAGCAGCGATTCAGCTTGCTGGACCGTAGGAGTGACATCACCTGTAGTAAAGCTTATGTGGCTGTTGTTTGGCATTATTTCATGCCTGTTTCTGTTGCACTTCATGTTGTCAGGTGCTGCAGGAGGCCTCACACGTGCACAAGCTGTGTGTGGTCTCCTTGACTGGAAAATGAGAAAAAGTACTATGAAAATAAATGTTCACATTTCATTGTCTTGGTAGTTGAGCTTGGGTTATCAAGCATAGCAGAAGAAAGCTTTTGTTTGTGCTATTGCTTTTCAAGTCCTGTTGTGTGGAGCTCTCATTCCAGGGCACTGTACGCCGCTGCTCAGGATGGCCAAGTCAATCAGGGTTATTAAAGGCACACTGTCACATAACAAGTGCATGCCGCGCGACTGAGCTGCATGCGAGCACATCGCGATGCCATGAACACGGCATCAGTATAAACATGCATCAGGAGTTTGTGTTGCCTGGTCAGTGTGGCACACACTATCGTGCGCGGTGCCCACGCTACAGCTTTGTGGGTCCTGTGGGCAGTTGTGTTTACCTAGCCACCGGAACTGCTTCCGCTGAGCTCAGTGGTTTTTGAAACCAAAAGGTTTCGAAGAGCTCCGACTGGCCGCTCTAAATGTGTCTCTAAATAAATAGCTGTCGTGCTCACACAAACGAAGTTGCCAGCCATGATAAGGGGGTCATAAGCTACCTATTGCAACAAAAAAAAAAAAGTGCAGGGTATCAGTGCTCTTAACTTAAATCAATTTTTGAAACTCACATGATTTCATCGTACAAATCTCCTGTATACAGAGACTGCTGTAAACAAGTGTGTAGCTCGGGAAATGCTGATAAACTATGTTATTTTACATTAGTCAGTTTTCATACAGCTCACCTACTCACACCCCAGCATGGCAGTAGGCTATGGTAGCAGTTTTAGCGACTTAATGCTCCAGTCATAGTTACATCAGATACCAAACATACAAAATGGCCACTAGTGCATCACCAACAAAGTTGCTTAGCAAAGCGGCCATGGGAATGTGACGATATCTTGTGCAAGTGTGTGACAAGCAGCTCGTGCCATATCGTATCGTTAAGGTGCACTACAAAGTGAATATAGCTTTTAAGAGCATGCACCTGCATTCATTGAACTGGCAAAAAAATATGGAAGTAGTTTTATATATTGTGTAATTCAATGCAAACCTTATGAAAAGGTTACCGTATCTTCAAAGCAAATTTCGGTGCGTTGAAAGTTGGTTTCACGGCACTGCTTAAAAAAGTAACGCTAATTCAAAAAAGGCGGCTTCACGGCTATACAGGGAAGTTTTTTTTGTATGCAGGGGCAGGCTACATGCAATGAAATAGGGCATACATGTAAACAACTTGTCATTATAAGCAGCCGTACAAAACCTTGTCTCACAGGACTGCTGTCCTGTGAGACAGCAGTCCCCTGTGTCTCACAGGACCGGGTTAACTGGCGGAACATGGGAGAGGCCTTTGTCCTGCAGTGGACGTAGTCAGGCTGATGATGATGATGATGACAAAACCTTTGGGCATTGGAATCCCATGATCTGCTTTAGTAGATCAGAGGCTTTGTCCTTGCCTCCTGGCTCTTCAGTGTTGCACTCGGCACACTTCTTTGGATGCTGTACGCAGCGGCAATGTCAAACTCCCTTTCTCCACGTTCAGCTGTGTTAAACATAGCAAACTTTGTGGAAAGGTAGATTCTTTAGCTTCTAAAGGGATACTAAATAAAATTTTTGTTGCCACAATTTTCAGCCAAATTGGAAGATTTGGTGACTGATCAATAAACACAAACTTTATTTCTGGCATACACTAGAGTAAATGTGTACGTTTTTCTGAAATCGCCACATCAAGCAGCTGTGCAGTGAACTAGAGGTGGTGTTTTGCTACATACTCAGGAAATGGGCATGCCAACAACACCAGCAGTTCCCTGTGTCTCTTGACCTGCTCAGCTTCTACTGTTTTTCAGAACCGCTATGAACAGCACCATAGTGAACAGTGCTGGGGTAAAGCATTTTGTCGGAAGGATAAGAGTAAGAGGTGGAAATAGGGAAGATGAAGAGGCGGCCCTGCACGCGCCTCAGCGAATGTTGACGATAAGCTGTTTCAGATACGGCAGTGAAATCTTTCATAAAGGTGACACTTTCTCGTTGCTGTATTTCATTGTTGCCTCGATGTGAAGGCATGACTTGTTGCCTGTAACAAATGAAGTGTTATACTACTAAACACGTCGAAAAATGTCCAGTTCCGATAATGAAACAGTTTGGAGGGACCATTGTGCGATGTGATGGGAAGAGAGATAATACGTCAAGCACACAGACGCAAAGCTTTGATATCTGCATTCTGAGACTCCAAGCTTTTTCGTTCTGAAATTAGGACTTCGCTTTGCATCCCACTTTTCTCATTGGGGCAAGAGCTCTAGAGTTCTTTCCTTATGTGAGAAGCCTCCCCGAGTACACGAACTCTTTAGTTCCTGCATGCTTCTACAGTACTTTGGCTTCGAAATATCGGCTCACTCATGCATTTTCTCTAGTAGGATGGAAAATGGGCGTTGTCAATTTTTTAAAAATATTGCTCATCTCTGATGTGTTTGTCTATTTTAGAGCTAAAATCGAGAAGTTCTCAAATGTCCTTGTTGAAGATTGCATTCTATGCAGGCAAAGCTACAGTTCTACAGTGTATGCTACCACATTGCATCTCAAAGTTGTTGAGCCGATACTACTTACTTCAAGAATTTCACTTGCTTACGCTGCCAGTATAACACGTAATCAGTCACAAAGAGTAAGATAGGTTAGGAATGCAGACTCTGCTCATCTGGAAAGGACACATTCTTTAATGCCAGTTTCTGCTTTATATCGTGTTGGTGACATGGCTCTAGGAATGAAGAAAAGCTAGGGAACTAGGATAGAAGAGGTCCTTGAGAAGAGCCGCGAATGGTGGTTCTCACATGGCCGCTCTACTCCATGTTATCCGTTTGCCTACCCGACCTAGCTGTCCTAGCTGTTGGCTTCTCTAGTCGCGGCGTGTGCTCATGAGAGGAGATTGTCGAATGATTTTATGCACCTCGATGGATAGCGTTACATGTTGTGAACTGCTACTTACTGTATATGCTATATTAAAGACAGTAATACACTGAGCAGCTATAGGCACCCAGCAATGCAGTTTACGAGATCTGATGGTAGCGCCAGAACACACAGCCTAGTGGGTAGGCGCAGCAAAACAGCTTCTTCCAATGTGTAGCCTTGCGAGTAGACGCAGCAAAACCGAACTTGCCCGTGCATATAATTTTCTTTTTTAGTTGCGAGTAAGCGGTCCAGGCTGAATATTAAGCACCCAGGAAGCGTTCTTTGCAAACGTGCCAAAAAGGGCACTGACACTTCGGAGTGTCACTGTGCTCAGCGAGCGTTCCATTTTCTTAGTATCTCTGGCTGTCGGTACCTACAATGCTGAGACGGCCCGAAGAGCTTCGTTGCGCCATCTGGTTCACTGTCGGGTGCCGATAGCTGCTATGCACGCGGCAACCCGTTAGGACTCGCTCTCTGGATTTCGTGCCGACTGGTTGTGCCCCCGCGATCTCCGACGACAGCGCAGCTCTGGCCGACTGCGCTCGCCCTACGCCATCTCCTGACGCAGACAAGAGCTCTCGCCGAGCACTCGGCGAGAGCTCTTGTCGCAGGAGTCCCGAGGACGGGGCACTACGTAGTGCCCAGTCCTCGGGACTCCTGCGACCGTGTCCATCTCTCCTATCTTCTCCTTACTTCCGGATGTCGCTGCCCCTGCGCCACGCTCTTTCTTTCCCCCTCTCTCCATCTCTATACTTCTTAATCCTATCTTTTTAATCCCTCTTACCCCCACCTCTCGTGAGCTACTGTTGAGGTGTCCTCCCCCTGAGAGACAGTTACGGGGCACACTTTTCTCTTCTTTCTTTAAAATCACTCACCCCGGCAACCCGTTATAAAGAGAACACATCACATCATCGTCAGCTAGAGCAATGGAAGGAGAAAGCATAGAAATGAACTAGACTTACTAGACGCCCGTGATGCAGTTTGTCCCGAGTGGATCGTTATGAGGCGGCGGATTCGGCACGCCTGTTTTATTTTATATCGATCCGTGCTCGTAATATTCTCCATTGTGTCACGCACACAGGCCCACCCACAGCCTCTTACACAGCCACTTACGCAGGGCCGAATGTGCTAGCGCGTTCCAATTAGAACACAACGCGTTGGTCCATCGCGTGTCCGCAGAATCTCGTTCCCCTACGCTATCACATGATTGCTGAGACTTTTAGGGACAAAGGCCACAGGTCCGAACGCGTTCTGAACGCAGGTGTGAACGCGTTCTGGCAGTGCTTGGACCAGCTGTTGCGCATGCAGTGGTCACTCGTCCATAGGCTGCTCCGCATCTAAAAATGTCAACGAAAGATGAATAGATAATCTGCCAGCCAAGCAGCATTTAGCCTTGCCTCGACACTGCCTCTTCTATGTTGAATCGGCCGCACCTGGCTGACATTGATAAAACCAAGGCGGAATTACGCTGCGTAATGTATAACATGAACCATGGCATCCGTTATTGCGAGCGTGCGGCATGGTTCTGTGCATTCTGTGCAGAACTTACGGCCAGTGCCAGGTGGCAGTACATATACTACCACAGGACACATACTACCATTTGGCAGTACCAGATCACCGACGCAGCCTTTATAGGTCACTCTAGTCGGCAGTAGTCGCCGTCGGCAAAGGGCTTTTTCGTGCATAGCGTCGCATTTTCAGCGCAGCGTAAAAAACAGTACGGTCTTTAGGTTACGTATCTGTATTTTCTAGTAAAGAACCACATCACTTAATACTTGCGTATTCATGTTGCGTCTCAAATATGCGTAATATTTGTTTTTGTTTTTTGATGTTCAAGTATGAACTCAGGCACCAGTAGAACATGACTGAGCGTTCAGCAAGTACTTAAACTTTGGCCAGTTGGCTAAATCGTCAGATAGACAGGCCATAATTTCTGCGATGTGAAGCGTCACAATGATTAGCCTGATGTTTGTGGTTTGTGGTTATGTTTGTGGTCTTCTCGTTTCTGCTGCTTTCACTTCCTCCATGTGGTTTCTGCTACCAACGCCTCCTAGATTTCCTATGCCTGCCGCATGAGCGCAAAATGCCGGTCATTTATGGCGGCGCTGCCTACGTAGGAGTTAGGGTTTGTGTACTTGGCCTTCAAGATCGACAATTTTGGCGTTTGCAGAGAATGCCTTGTATTAAAAAAGTTGCTTGTTCAATGACAGCGACACTTACGTAGGGTTAATTATAAATACATTTACGCATTTTTAAAACTTTTTTACGTTATTTTTGTTGCATATAAGTTCTAAAAACGAAAAAGTAAAAACCTATTTGAAGATACTCCTACTTGAGTAGCGCCACCACCATAGTTCCGACGACCGCCGCTTCCCAAGTGACCACTGATAATCCGGCAGGCACAAGAAATCTACGAGGCGTTGCTGCTACTTATGGTGGCAGTGATGCCAACCCTAGGGATTTATCTCTAGATCTAGAGGGTTTTTGTCTCTTTTAAAGATTTGGCGTCTTTTTTGTGAAATCTAAGGATTTTTTAGAGTGTTGAAATGAAACGCTATGCAGCTTAATGACTGGTGTTGCTGAGTAACCACGCGTTTTTAATAATAAGTAACTGCAAAGAATGTAATTTTTTGCTAATTTCTATTTTTCATTTCCAACTTTCCTTCGCTATTTCTATTTTTTTCGTTTAAAAGAGCATTGGTGTTGTGCAAGCCGAGAGAGGGCGACTTTGGTTCTGTAACGCGAGCATTGAGAAAGTAATTTCTTTTTCTATGACGCGAGGTTCTCGCAGTAACAACCTCTGATGTGTGCTGTCGAAAGAACTTGTCCAAACTTGTCGTCGCGAGTGACAACTTTTCTTCGCAAGTGAAGTGCAACTGTGGAAACTCTGAACTACTTGGCTTCGCGAGTGAAAGTGCAATTGTGACTTACAGTGTACGGAAAAACGCGCGAAATTCACCTCCGCCGCGCACCTTCACTGTGCAAAGTGAAGGCGCGCTTCATGTGAAATGGCAACTTCTGGACGAAGAGACTTTGAGCAAGGTGAGCCGAGTAGAAAGAAAGCGAAAGCATACGATCAAAAATATTTGACGAGATGGGAAGCTGAACCAAAGTACAAGGGATGGCTAGCAGCGAGTAAAAAAGGGCCCCTGTACTTCTACTGCAAGTCATGCAACGCTGATTGCAAAGGTGAAAAATCGGAAATCGACCGCCACCTTGCAAGCTCCAAGCACAGGAACAGTGCTGCAAGCTTGCAATCGACCCGCACGCTGACATCTATGCCTGCAGTAAGTGGGCAAACTCAGCTAGACAAATCTGTCAAAGAGGCGGAAATAAGGCTTGCAGCGTTCATCACAGAGCATAACCTGCCATTTAATGTCATGGGGCATTTAGTTGACGTTGTCAAAGCAGCATGCGATGATTCCCAAATTGCAAAGAATGTGAGCTGTGGTCGGACAAAGTGCACTGCCATCGTAAAAAATGTTCTTGGAGAGCAGAGTCGCCAAGACATCTGTGAACTTTTGCGCAGACAGAAGTTCTCTCTGCTTGTCGACGAATCTACTGACATGGGAACAGTGAAGCATCTGTCCCTTGTCGCCCGAGTGATGAATGCCAACGGCGACGTAGTGGATGCGTTTCTTGACTTGGTACCAGTCAGCGACGGAACCGCCCAGTCTCTCTTCAGCAGTCTGAAGGCAGTCTTTACTAGCACAGAAATTCCATACGAAAGAAACTTGATCGGTTTCTCGGCGGACGGAGCAAACGTGATGATGGATGCTCATCATTCCGTCGCATCGATGCTGCAAGCACAAATTCCAGGAATTTTCATTCTGAAATGCATTTGCCATTTCTTCCATCTCTGTGCCTCCTACGCGTGCAAAACGCTACCGAGAGGAGTGGAGGATCTGGCCCGCGATGTGTACAACTACTTTTTGTCTCCCAAGCAGACGTCTGCATACCAGGAGGTCCAAAGGCTCGCAGAGGTGAAGTCACATAAGCTACTGCACCCGAGCCAAACCAGGTGGCTGTCCCTCCAAGTTGTTGTTACCCGCCTACTTGAGCAGATGCTGGCCTTGATTTCATTTTTCAAAAAAGCAGCCACTGAGGACCGCGTGCTTGCCGCAGAAGCCATTCTCGAGAAGCTTAGCAACCCGTCGACTAAGCTTTACCTCGAGTTTCTTGAGTACGTGCTGCCTTTTTTTAACAAACCTAAACAAAGAAATGCAGTCCGAGGAAACCAGAATCCACTTGCTGCACGAAAAGGTTTCGGGCACGCTAAAATGCTTACTCGAATGCTACATGAAGCGGGACTACTTGGAGGCCACGCCGTTGTCCGATGTGCAGTACAAAGACCCCGCCAAGTTCCTGCCACTAGAGGAAATATATCTCGTAGCAAAGCCAACTGCAGCGCTATCCGGTGGCACACACGGCCTAAACGATGACCAGATTCACAACTTTAGGCTGCGGTGCTTAGAGTTTTTCATCGAAGCCGCTCGTCAGATATACTTGCGGTTCCCCCTGAAAAGTCACCAGTTGAAGAACCTTCGAGTCCTGGACCCGAAAGTTGTCATGGGAAAGACGATTCCATCAATCGCGCCCCTTGCGGTCTCATTTCGCCTGATCGTGAGGGAAAATGAAGTGAATGAACTGGACAGGGAGTGGCGTCTCCTCCGCAACATAGACCTGAGTGAGCACGCTGGCTTGACTGCGAGCCAGTTTTGGCACGCCGTATCCCAGATGCGAAGAGGTGATGGATCACAAGAGTTTCCCCTGTTGTCAGCGTTTATGAAAAACATTTTGTGCCTACCACACTCCAGCGCTGCGGTCGAACGTGTGTTTTCGCAAGTAAATCTGCTGAAAACAAAGCAAAGAAACAGGTTGTCAACAGACGCGCTGTGCGGCTTGCTGCACGCAAAAAGAACCTTGACGGACAGCTCCTGCTACACCTTCCAGATCACTCCATCGCATTTGAAGCGGATGAAGAAAGAAATGTATGGTGATTAAGACTTCAAAGGGTTACATGTCACGATGTCCAGCATTTTCGTCGTCCTGCAAGCCTCGGCCGGCTGCCTCAGTAATTTGCGCATACAGAGAAGAGACTGTTGCAAGAGCATTTCAAGAGGCGTTGCTGTGAAACCAGAGTCGTCTGCTCGAAGAAGCGAATTCACATCGCTCCACAGAAAATATTGAAAAAAAGAGCTGCAGTTGCTGCTAGTAAGCTATATCTTAACTCTAATGAGATTCAGAGCAAACGAGGCGAAGAGCAAGCTGCATTTAGACTAATAAAGGTGAATACCAACGTGCGAAAAGAAAAAAAAATGCAATCTGGGGATTTTGTCTGCTATCTAGAGATTTTTGAGGGGTCACTCTAAGGATAAAGCGTTGCCTCACGTTGGCATCACTGTATGGTGGCAATCCGGACTACGTATGGGAATATTGCAATAGAACAGAAGGAAGGCAACAAAAAAGGGGGGTGGAATTGATGCATTTATACATAAGAGCATGGGTTGGCAAAGAGTCAAGCAGGGATGCATGGAACATTTATGGTTAAGAGGGAAAGTAGCTGGGGAGATGACACACCTTGGTTTGGTGTACTTGTGGACGGGAGCAAAGGCCAGAGAGGAAAACCAGGCAATGATGGAGTGTATATCCAAGGACATTGAGGAATTAGGAGGAGAGTGTGAGATATTATACTAGGAGATATGAATGCGCACATAAAAGATATAGATGGGTATACTGACTTAACAGGCAAAATGATCATGGATATGTGTGAAAGGCATGATTTGATCATTTGCAACAGAACCGAGAAGTGTGAAGGGCAAGTAACATGGGAGGTAGGAAGGCTGCAGTCGACGATAGATTACACCCTGATGTCACATAGGATGTATGATAAGCTCAGGGGAATGCACATAGATGAAGGTGGCTCCAGAAGTGTGGGTAGTGATCACAAACGTATCAAGCTAAGTTTTAGAAGAGCAGCGAAAGTGGGAAGGAGACAAGATAAGCAACCACAGGAAAATTTTCATTCGGAAAGGCAGATAGAAATTGCTACTTAACAAATTGAGAAAGTAATCACTGAGGATAATAAAACAGTGTGGACATACACAAATATAATTAGACTGTTCGGGCTAGAGCTTGCTAAGGCACGTGACAAGTCACCCAGAAAAAGAAGACACAAGCTCAAGAGTTGGTGGGATGAGAAAGTTAACAGAGCCATAGCAAAACTTCAGGAAGCCTCTAGGGAACACAGACATGCTAAGCAGCGGGGTGAACCGACAGATGATGTTGAAAGAAAATGGGAAATATTTCTAAGCTCTAGAAGGGAAAACCCTCCTGATGAATGAAAAGATTAGAAGAAAGGGTGCTCAGTGGCTGGCAGAAGTACACAAAAAGGACAGAAAGGCAGCTGCGAAATTTCGGAACCATCTAAACTCCCTAAGAATTGGAACAAACCTAGAGCAGAGGTTTATATACTACAGCTCAAGGTGCTAGGCTAGAAGGGAACAAAGCTATTGAATATATAAGAACAAGGATGACAGAAAAATTTCAACACAGAAGTGCCTTATGCACCACAATAGACAGGGATGGATCAAGTGGCACAATGGCTCCATTTTCACAACGAGAGTGGTAAAGGGCTGAGAAGAGGGGTCCAAGTAGTACATCAACAGGCCCAAATGGCATTCCATTTATGCTGATAAAGACATTGGGTCCGAAGTCTAAACAGACTTTGAGAGAGGCAGTGAGCAGAACAATAATCGATGGTGAAGTTTCTGATGGATGGAAACTTAGCAGGATGAGCATGATCTATAAAGGAAATGGGGGCAAAGATGACATAAACAACTACCGTCCTATAACAGAGACATCAGTGGTCTACAGGCTGGCGATGCAGATTATGAAGGAAAGACTGCAGGCATCGATAGAGGATGAGGGGGTGCTGGGGGAACTGCAGAATGGGTTTCGGAAACAAGGGAGCTTGGAAGACAATCTGTTCTCATTGACGCAGTGCATCGAAATAGCAGAAAAGGAACTCAGGCCTCTGTGGCTAGCATTTTTGGATATCAAGGGAGCATACGATAGCATGGTCCAAGAGGACTTGTGGGGAATACTAGACACTGGGTGTGGAAGATGGAGTCACTAATCTTTTAAAGGAAATCTATAAAAGTAACAAGGTATATAAAGTGGGAAAAACAGGTATCTTAGCCCACAGAGGTGAAACGGGGACTTGGGCAGGGGTGTCCACTGTCACCCTTGTTATTCATGATGTACCTACAAGGATTAAAGGCCAAATTAGAGGGAAGTGGACTTGGCTTCAACCTCTCTTTAGTCAAACAAGGAAAGCTCATTGATCAGGCACTACCAGCATTAATGTACGCAGATGATATAGTGCTATTTATTGGCCGACAACTAGGAAGATTTGCAGAGATTGATGGACATCTGCGGTAGTGAGGGAGATAGGTTAGATTTTAGATTCAGTAAGGAAAAATCAGCAGTCATAATTTTTAATGATATTGAAGATTGTGGGCTTAGGATACTGGAAGTCGCGCTAGAGATAACAGATAAATACAAATATCTAGGCGTATGGATGAGCAATGGGACCGAGTACCTAAGGGAACACGAAATATACGTGACGACTAAAGGTAACAGGAATACAGCAGTGATGAAAAATAGGGCACTGTGGAAATACAATAGGTATGATGTTGTGAGAGGAATATGGAAAGGAGTCATGGTTCCTGGTCTGACGTTCGGCGATGCGGTCTTGTGCATGAGATCAGAACTTCAAGCAAGATTAGAAGTTAAGTAACGTGGAATAGGTAGGCTTGCCTTAGGAGATCACTGGAATACACCAAATCAGGGAGTACAATGGCATGGACATCATTTGAGGGCAGGGAAGCTAGCAGCAAGATAAAATTCGAGAAGCGATTGAGAGAAATGGGAGAGGAGCGGTGGGCTAGGAAGGTTTTCAGCTACTTGTACATGAAGAATGTCGATACAAAATAGAGGAAGTGAACCAGGAAATTGACTGGTAAATACTTAGAAAACAGCAGGTGGCCAAACCAAAAAGAACTATCGGTTAAGAAGAAAGAGAAGAAAACGGAGACTGACATGTGGAGAATTGACATGATTAAGAAGTCTGCACTGGAGATCTATCGAGATTTTAAGCAGGAAATCGCCAAGGAAAAAATCTATGAAAATACTCGGGGTAGTTCTCTACTGTTTGAGGCCAGGACGGGAGTATTGCGAACCAAGGCACATCGGGCCAAATACGAATGGGTAGACACAGTATGCCGTGCGTGTGGAGAGGAAGAAGAAACTGCCGAGCACTTGATAATGTTCTGTAAAGGGCTTCATTCTATAGTTCATGATGATGACGCTGAGTTTTTCAAAGCACTGGGGTTTAGGGTCAGGGAGGGCAAGATAGACATTAAGAGGGTAGACTTAACTAGAAGGAGGTTATCTGATTGGTGGCTAAAGTCAAGGCACGAGTGAAAATAAAACCCTTCACTGCAAGGTACGAATCATCAACCTCTCTATCTAAAGGAAAAAAAGAAGATAAATCTAATGGTTAGTTCCCTAAGTATTACGGCTAGGTGACGTTATCCGCCGCCCGATCTAAAGGGTACAGCCACATCCATCCATCTATTTATCGTGGCGGCCCCTGGGAGGAATCTGCCGCATCCGCCTCTGCCTGCTCTGCCGTGCTGCCGCTGCAGTCGAAGATGGCGTCCCGCAAAAATGGAGGTAAATTTGTACTACAGTTGTTCTCCCGCTGCAGTGCTGGCTTTGCATTCTCTGCATCGTTATTTCCTTCATTATAAGTATCATGTTCTTTAGGGTTGTGGCAGGTTTCTTAAGAGTAGTCTATGATACGGTACGCAGTAACGGGTCGAGTGACTGCTGCGGATTCCGCCAAGGCTGACAGCCTTGCGTACTCTGACACTTTCATTTCCCCTCAGTTGACTCCGAAATGGCCCTTCTTAGCGAAGAACAGCTGGATGGGAGGCTGTCGCCGGATCTATGGCCCGAACCGAGTAAGCTGTCCGCCTCTTTTCGTGATGTAGCCATATTTCCGCGAAGTAAAACGTACGAGCAATAATCCGTATGCATGTTCCTCGCAGTGCCCGGAGTAATGGAATTTGCTGCGCTCCTTTCGGTGAGTTTGTGCTCACTTTAGTGTTGCGCCGGTTCTTACGGCGCTTATTGAACAAAGTGTTGCGCACAGCATGCCAGCACTGGGATTGCGTTTTGACGGCGTAGTGGCGACGTATGGGTTAACCACACGTGTGGACACAAGTGGAAGCGTCGCAGTCCCATTTCATACGGATGACAGCTATGGAAGGGAGTTGCTAGGTAGCTGCATTTCGAGGGATGAAAAATTTGCTGAGTGAACCTGGAGGCTTAGAAAGAGGGTTGAGCTTAAATTGAGGACGACACAGTGAACAATGGAAATGAAAATGATAGGTGTAATCTTAAGAGACAAGAAGGGAGCAGAGTGGGTCAGGGAACAAACCAGGGTTAAGGATATCAGTCATATCATAGTTGAAATCGAAAACAAATGGGCATGGACCGCGCACATAGCACGTAGGCAGGATAACCGCGTCAATAAAGGTTTCTGACTGGATTACCAGAGAAGGCAAATGCATGAAGGGCAGACCGAACTTTAGGTCGGCCGATGGTATTAAAAAGTTCGCCGGCATAACGTGGCAATGGAAAGCCCGCAAGACCGTGTTTATTGGTGGATCATGGGAGAGACCTTTGCCCTGCAGTGGGCGTAGTCAGGCTGCTGCTGATAATGATGATGAATAGAATTGAAGAGATCCTGTCTCCCTGCCTTACACCCTTTATTGGGATTTTGTAGCTTTCTTTATGGAGAACTATGGTGCCTGTGGAGCCACTGTAGACTTCTTTCAGTATGTTTATGTAGGGTTCGTCGTTGCTCTGATTCTGAAATGCCTGCATTACTGCTGATTTCTCGACTGAGTCAAATACCTTCTCGTAATCTATGAAGGCTATTTATAGGGGTTTGTTGTATTCTGTTCCATGTGTACCAGTGAACGATTCACTTGTCTGAAGGGACTGCTTTGTGATGCTTTTGAAAGGGATTGTTACATTTGATTACCATATAAATTATCACACGTCATGGCTGAGAAGTTTAAACCACAACAACAACCACAGAAGTGACTCTGGCCCATCAGATCATGGCCATGTGAAGGCAGGCTTCACAACCATGGTAGGCCAACTTCCAGTGATGCCTTGCTGGCATTACTGTTAGCCTACAGTGTTATCTGAAGGTGAAATGAGGGATCCAGTTCTGCAAAAATTTGTATTGGGGGTAGATCACTTGTATTTTGAGATTTATGTGACCTTGCAATTGTGTGCATTACTTATCATTTGCTCTGCTCTTTGTAATGCTGGAAATAGTTGTGAAGTAGATGTCGTGGCTTTAATAAGCATTGCAGTTGACTTTCAAGTGGTTCTACCAACATACGTCAAGAAATTTTGACACTCATCATAACAGCAGCAACACTAGATATGGCGTCATCATGTGTGACTTTCTTGGTACATTTATTTGTGTTATGTTGGCTTGTTGATTTGTGTTGTAATTGAACGTTTTTTGTTAAAAATTAGCCTGCATATACAAGGAGCCCAAACCAAAGTGGTCTCTGGATGAAGAGTATGGTCATGCTACAAGGTGAGCTGTTTCCAACTGGCGAGGTTGGGTCTTTCACCAACCTTAGCTGTACTGCGTGAGCAGAACTTCACTTGTAAAGAACTCTAATATTCTTAATGAAATGGATTGAACCTTTTGTTTTCTTATATTTGTGAGTGGATTTGGGTGCACGTTAAAGAACCCCAGGTGGTCAAAATTTCCTGAGTCCTCCACTACGGCGTCTCTCATAATCAATATGGTGGTTTTGGGAACGTTAAACCCAAATATCAATCAATTATTTGAGAGTGGAAGATGTATTCTGGCAGTTCTGTGAAGAAAATTCCTGATTAAGGACCATCAATTATTTGCACAAATAGCCGAAATCGTTTCATAAAAAGAACTAGCTGCCCAATGTCTGAAAACCTATAACCTAGACATATCATTTTTACTCGCATGACATTCGCTAATGCTGCTGAGTGTTAGCTAGTCACTTTTATGACAAGAACTGGGTATTTTATCTAATTAGAGTTATTTCGGTTCTGTAAGTTTTATTTGTTGGGGTCAGTCAAAGTGGACAAATGTATTATATATCTCATTTTCTCGCTCATAATCCACACGGGGGTGGGGGGGGGGGTGGGGGGTGGTGGGGTAATCCCTGGGGGGGGGGGCATGGAACATTTATGGTTAAGAGGGAAAGTAGCTGGGGAGATGACACACCTTGGTTTGGTGTACTTGTGGACGGGAGCAAAGGCCAGAGAGGAAAACCAGGCAATGATGGAGTGTATATCCAAGGACATTGAGGAATTAGGAGGAGAGTGTGAGATAATTATACTAGGAGATATGAATGCGCACATAAAAGATATAGATGGGTATACTGACTTAACAGGCAAAATGATCATGGATATGTGTGAAAGGCATGATTTGATCATTTGCAACAGAACCGAGAAGTGTGAAGGGCAAGTAACATGGGAGGTAGGAAGGCTGCAGTCGACGATAGATTACACCCTGATGTCACATAGGATGTATGATAAGCTCAGGGGAATGCACATAGATGAAGGTGGCTCCAGAAGTGTGGGTAGTGATCACAAACGTATCAAGCTAAGTTTTAGAAGAGCAGCGAAAGTGGGAAGGAGACAAGATAAGCAACCACAGGAAAATTTTCATCGGAAAGGCAGATAGAAATTGCTACTTAACAAATTGAGAAAGTAATCACTGAGGATAATAAAACAGTGTGGACATACACAAATATAATTAGACTGTTCGGGCTAGAGCTTGCTAAGGCACGTGACAAGGTCACCCAGAAAAAGAAGACACAAGCTCAAGAGTTGGTGGGATGAGAAGTTAACAGAGCCATAGCAAAACTTCAGGAAGCCTCTAGGGAACACAGACATGCTAAGCAGCGGGTGTGAACGACAGATGATGTTGAAAGAAAATGGGAAATATTTCTAAGCTCTAGAAGGGAAAACCCTCCTGATGAATGAAAAGATTAGAAGAAAGGGTGCTCAGTGGCTGGCAGAAGTACACAAAAAGGACAGAAGGCAGCTGCGAAATTTCGGAACCATCTAAACTCCCTAAGAATTGGAACAAACCTAGAGCAGAGGTTTATATACTACAGCTCAAGGTGCTAGGCTAGAAGGAACAAAGCTATTGAATATATAAGAACAAGGATGACAGAAAAATTTCAACACAGAAGTGCCTTATGCACCACAATAGACAGGGATGGATCAAGTGGCACAATGGCTCCATTTTCACAACGAGAGTGGTAAAGGGCTGAGAAGAGGGGTCCAAGTAGTACATCAACAGGCCCAAATGGCATTCCATTTATGCTGATAAAGACATTGGGTCCGAAGTCTAAACAGACTTTGAGAGAGGCAGTGAGCAGAACAATAATCGATGGTGAAGTTTCTGATGGATGGAAACTTAGCAGGATGAGCATGATCTATAAAGGAAATGGGGGCAAAGATGACATAAACAACTACCGTCCTATAACAGAGACATCAGTGGTCTACAGGCTGGCGATGCAGATTATGAAGGAAAGACTGCAGGCATCGATAGAGGATGAGGGGGTGCTGGGGGAACTGCAGAATGGGTTTCGGAAACAAGGGAGCTTGGAAGACAATCTGTTCTCATTGACGCAGTGCATCGAAATAGCAGAAAAGGAACTCAGGCCTCTGTGGCTAGCATTTTTGGATATCAAGGGAGCATACGATAGCATGGTCCAAGAGGACTTGTGGGGAATACTAGACACTGGGTGTGGAAGATGGAGTCACTAATCTTTTAAAGGAAATCTATAAAAGTAACAAGGTATATAAAGTGGGAAAAACAGCGTTATCTAGCCCACAGAGGTGAAACGGGGACTTGGGCAGGGGTGTCACTGTCACCCTTGTTATTCATGATGTACCTACAAGGATTTAAAGGCCAAATTAGAGGGAAGTGGACTTGGCTTCAACCTCTCTTTAGTCAAACAAGGAAAGCTCATTGATCAGGCACTACCAGCATTAATGTACGCAGATGATATAGTGCTATTTATTGGCCGACAACTAGGAAGATTTGCAGAGATTGATGGACATCTGCGGTAGTGAGGGAGATAGGTTAGATTTTAGATTCAGTAAGGAAAAATCAGCAGTCATAATTTTTAATGATATTGAAGATTGTGGGCTTAGGATACTGGAAGTCGCGCTAGAGATAACAGATAAATACAAATATCTAGGCGTATGGATGAGCAATGGGACCGAGTACCTAAGGGAACACGAAATATACGTGACGACTAAAGGTAACAGGAATACAGCAGTGATGAAAAATAGGGCACTGTGGAAATACAATAGGTATGATGTTGTGAGAGGAATATGGAAAGGAGTCATGGTTCCTGGTCTGACGTTCGGCGATGCGGTCTTGTGCATGAGATCAGAACTTCAAGCAAGATTAGAAGTTAAGTAACGTGGAATAGGTAGGCTTGCCTTAGGAGATCACTGGAATACACCAAATCAGGGAGTACAATGGCATGGACATCATTGAGGGCAGGGAAGCTAGCAGCAAGATAAATTCGAGAAGCGATTGAGAGAAATGGGAGAGGAGCGGTGGGCTAGGAAGGTTTTCAGCTACTTGTACATGAAGAATGTCGATACAAAATAGAGGAAGTGAACCAGGAAATTGACTGGTAAATACTTAGAAAACAGCAGGTGGCCAAACCAAAAGAACTATCGGTTAAGAAGAAAGAGAAGAAAACGGAGACTGACATGTGGAGAATTGACCTGATTAAGAAGTCTGCACTGGAGATCTATCGAGATTTTAAGCAGGAAATCGCCAAGGAAAAATCTATGAAAATACTCGGGGTAGTTCTCTACTGTTTGAGGCCAGGACGGGAGTATTGCGAACCAAGGCACATCGGGCCAAATACGAATGGGTAGACACAGTATGCCGTGCGTGTGGAGAGGAAGAAGAAACTGCCGAGCACTTGATAATGTTCTGTAAGGGCTTCATTCTATAGTTCATGATGATGACGCTGAGTTTTTCAAAGCACTGGGGTTTAGGGTCAGGGAGGGCAAGATAGACATTAAGAGGGTAGACTTAACTAGAAGGAGGTTATTGATTGGTGGCTAAAGTCAAGGCACGAGTGAAAATAAAACCCTTCACTGCAAGGTAGAATCATCAACCTCTCTATCTAAAGGAAAAAAGAAGATAAATCTAATGGTTAGTTCCCTAAGTATTACGGCTAGGTGACGTTATCCGCCGCCCGATCTAAGGGTACAGCCACATCCATCCATCTATTTATCGTGGCGGCCCCTGGGAGGAATCTGCCGCATCCGCCTCTGCCTGCTCTGCCGTTGCTGCCGCCGCAGTCGAAGATGGCGTCCCGTAAAAATGGAGGTAAATTTGTACTACAGTTCTTCTCCCGCTGCAGTGCTGGCTTTGCATTCTGCATGCTATTTAACGTTCTCTGCATTGTTATTTCCTTCATTACAAGTATCATGTTCTTCAGGGTTGTGGCAGGTTTCTTAAGAGTAGTCTATGATACGGTACGCAGTAACGGGTCGAGTGACTGCTGCGGATTCCGCCAAGGCTGACAGCCTTGCGTACTCTGACACTTTCATTTCCCCTCAGTTGACTCCGAAATGGCCCTTCTTAGCGAAGAACAGCTGGATGGGAGGCTGTCGCCGGATCTATGGCCCGAACCGAGTAAGCTGTCCGCCTCTTTTCGTGATGTAGCCATATTTCCGCGAAGTAAAACGTACGAGCAATAATCCGTATGCATGTTCCTCGCAGTGCCCGGAGTAATGGAATTTGCTGCGCTCCTTTCGGTGAGTTTGTGCTCACTTAGTGTTGCGCCGATTCTTACGGCGCTTATTGAACAAAGTGTTGCGCACAGCATGCCAGCACTGGGATTGCGTTTTGACGGTGTAGTGGCGACGTATGGGTTAATCACACGTGTGGACACAAGTGGAAGCGTCGCAGTCCCATTTCATACGGATGACAGCTATGGAAGGGAGTTGCTAGGTAGCTGCATTTCGAGGGATGAAAAATTTGCTGAGTGAACCTGGAGGCTTAGAAAGAGGGTTGAGCTTAAATTGAGGACGACACAGTGAACAATGGAAATGAAAATGATAGGTGTAATCTTAAGAGACAAGAAGGGAGCAGAGTGGGTCAGGGAACAAACCAGGGTTAAGGATATCAGTCATATAATAGTTGAAATCGAAAACAAATGGGCATGGACCGCGCACATAGCACGTAGGCAGGATAACCGCGTCAATAAAGGTTTCTGACTGGATTACCAGAGAAGGCAAATGCATGAAGGGCAGACCGAACTTTAGGTCGGCCGATGGTATTAAAAAGTTCGCCGGCATAACGTGGCAATGGAAAGCCCGCAAGACCGTGTTTATTGGTGGATCATGGGAGAGACCTTTGCCCTGCAGTGGGCGTAGTCAGGCTGCTGCTGATAATGATGATGAATAGAATTGAAGAGATCCTGTCTCCCTGCCTTACACCCTTTATTGGGATTTTGTAGCCTTCTTTATGGAGAACTATGGTGCCTGTGGAGCCACTGTAGACTTCTTTCAGTATGTTTATGTAGGGTTCGTCGTTGCTCTGATCTGAAATGCCTGCATTACTGCTGATTTCTCGACTGAGTCAAATACCTTCTCGTAATCTATGAAGGCTATTTATAGGGGTTGTTGTATTCTGTTCCATGTGTACCAGTGAACGATTCACTTGTCTGAAGGGACTGCTTTGTGATGCTTTTGAAAGGGATTGTTACATTTGATTACCATATAAATTATCACACGTCATGGCTGAGAAGTTTAAACCACAACAACAACCACAGAAGTGACTCTGGCCCATCAGATCATGGCCATGTGAAGGCAGGCTTCACAACCATGGTAGGCCAACTTCCAGTGATGCCTTGCTGGCATTACTGTTAGCCTACAGTGTTATCTGAAGGTGAAATGAGGGATCCAGTTCTGCAAAAATTTGTATTGGGGGTAGATCACTTGTATTTTGAGATTTATGTGACCTTGCAATTGTGTGCATTACTTATCATTTGCTCTGCTCTTTGTAATGCTGGAAATAGTTGTGAAGTAGATGTCGTGGCTTTAAATAAGCATTGCAGTTGACTTTCAAGTGGTTCTACCAACATAACGTCAAGAAATTTTGACACTCATCATAACAGCAGCAACACTAGATATGGCGTCATCATGTGTGACTTTCTTGGTACATTTATTTGTGTTATGTTGGCTTGTTGATTTGTGTTGTAATTGAACGTTCTTTGTTTAAAAATTAGCCTGCATATACAAGGAGCACCAAACCAAAGTGGGCTCTGGATGAAGACGGTATGGTCATGCTACAAGGTGAGCTGTTTCCAACTGGCGAGGTTGGGTCTTTCACCCAACCTTAGCTGTACTGCGTGAGCAGAAGCTTCACTTGTAAAGAAACTCTAATATTCTTAATGAAATGGATTGAACATTTTGTTTTTCTTATATTGTGAGTGGATTTGGGTGCACGTTAAAGAACCCCAGGTGGTCAAAATTTCCTGAGTCCTCCACTACGGCGTCTCTCATAATCATATGGTGGTTTTGGGACGTTAAACCCCACATATCAATCAATTATATTTGAGAGTGGAAGATGTATTCTGGCAGTTCTGTGAAGAAAATTCCTGATTAAGGACCATCAATTATTTGCACAAATAGCCGAAAATCGTTTCATAAAAAGAACTAGCTGCCCAATGTCTGAAAACCTATAACCTAGACATATCATTTTTACTCGCATGACATTCGCTAATGCTGCTGAGTGTTAGCTAGTCACTTTTATGACAAGAACTGGGTATTTTATCTAATTAAAGTTATTTCGGTTCCGTAAGTTTTATTTGTTGGGGTCAGTCAAAGTGGACAAATGTATTATATATCTCATTTTCTCGCTCATAATCCACACGGGGGGAGGGGGGCGGATATGAGCAGATGTTATGTCCATGTATCCTCTTTTTTTTCGATATAGTTGAAGTTAAGGGTGTGGATTATATGCAAGAAAGTGTGTTAATTTATAGCTTATATGGAATTATTGAAATGTTTACAAAGATTTTGCAAGAGTCCTACTCCTAAATGAGTAGTACATATTAGAGCTGTCTGTAATGGTGCTTCAGTTTCATTTTCTTTAGATGCAGGTGCAGTTTCTGAAATTATCATTCTTTTTGTGGGAGAGTTTCGTGGCACGACGCAAGCATGGAGTAGTACTACTAATTCCACTCAAATAGTACTTCTCGTGGTGAAATCGCCACACACAGGGACACATCTTGTATTTCTGTAATTTGAGATTCTATGAAGTGGCAGCTACACTGCTGATAAATTACCACCTTTGGTGTGCAGTGAGTAAGCTGCTGATGCTATGCTCTTCTATAATGCTAACTTTTCTTAAAGCACTGTGGAGTCGAGATAGCCAAAACACATGCCTGCTACCATGCCAAAATTAGTACTTCAGTTTACTTATAATTTCCTCATTTTCCTTGCTGCAGTGAATGCTGTTTTGTTTGTTACAAGACTCCCACGGTTGTGTGAAGTCATTGGTACAATACAGTTATCTTACACTTTGCAAGATTGCCCTCCTTTTCTTTATGTTTGACAGCACTGCCTTTTCAGCATACCCGTTTTCCAAAGTAAACGTGGTGTCCCTGGTATAGTGGGACATTGCGCAGCCACAAACACGGCGTTTAGTTCTCCCTAGAAAAATATCCTTAAAATGTTACTCTAAATTAAACAATTTAACTGTTTATCCTATTCATATTTTTTGTGTACAGTAATACCTCATTAACTCGAAGTCGTACAAGCCAGGGGCAATTTTGAGATACACAGATTTTCGAAATAAGCACGCTAATCACTGGGAAAAATGACTGCAGAGGTGCAACAGCTGCGCGAATTTGATACAATTCCCAATTATTGCGCCAAGCTGCCCCAAAACCATCACATTTGCTGAAATTGCGCTACACTGTGCCAAATTAGCCAGCCAGCGTCAAATTTTTTTCAGGTGTGCTAATTTCAGCGAAAAATGCAGGCCACGTCGGCCACCTGCAGGTTGCGTCATCAAAGAAAGCACGCAGGCCCGAACTGTAGTGCCTAGAATATACTAATATTCTAGGCGCCCGCCCTACAATCGCGAGACGCGATTGACCAGATAAATTAACCACAGTGGGTACCTATTGACTACAGCGGGTACCTGACCACAGCGGATACCTATTTATGCAACGATGGAACTTCAAGACAAAAATACATGGCTGTAGCCAATGCTTTGTGAAAAATGTAAATTTCCTAGTCTGAAAACGTGGCTATGGCTTGTTAAGAACTAAAGCTGGAAGCGTATGCCGCATTTTTCTCGTGCGAACAAGCTCGCCGTGCTGCGAACGCTGGCGTTGCCAGCGGCCACGTTGATTGCCTTAGCAGTGGCACATAAAACATTCATTTGTCGTGAAGTTGTGTCGTCCCTGCCACGGTTCTAGCAATAGATATGCGGTACCCTCGCCGGGCCAACGGGCACACGCCGTTGTTACTTTACCTGGTTGTGAACACGTCTTGCAAGGGAGCTGAAATGACACGTAACCCTATGGTGAAAAAAAAAAAATAAGGGAAGTGGTGTGGTGGTGTATAGGTTAGAAAATTTCTTGGCTTTGGTTATAATTTTACTTGAGCCACCTTCGCCACAGTACACGGGTGCCCTGCAGAAAAGCGTATTGAGATTGGAAGGGGCTGTTAGCACTAGTAAGACACTGCACATATTGCTCAGTAGCTCATGCGTTTCTACGCCACACAATTCTGAGTACCAGTATAATTACTGAAGTCTAAATAAGCTACCGGCAATCATTTCAAGCAGTGTTAATTTTTTATTAAAAAGTGCAAATAACCTGTCCACTGACAAGCTGGGCTTTTTTTTCGCGTGTTAAAGAGTCAGGAAACAGGCTCAGACTTTATTTTTTACACCCCCTCATACAAGCTCGTCAATTCATAGATTAGACCGCAGTGATCACATTTTCTGAATATTACCGCGCTGCGTGCAGCCTCTATTTCGAAAAACAATTTCCGCGCATATCCTATGCCTGGCCGACCCCCTTGCACGCGCAGTGACGTCAACTCGGCGACGTGACGTAGCACGCAGCTCGCCGATTGGTCTAAATAAGGTGTGAAAAAACAGTAGCGAAGTCAACGTCAGTTCCTGTTACCACCCAACAGCTACGAAACTGCCCCTTGTTTCTTGGCACTGCGGTACAAGAACCAGCCTCGCAGTTGTCGCATGCACGTTTACGCTCCTCACTCAACTACAGTGCCTGTGCGCACGTACGAACGTACTTCGCCCTTGACATAAGTAACACGGGTAAAAAGTGTTGCTCTGTCGTCGGCTGCAAATCAAGCGACTGGCCAGCAGAGAAGCATTGGCACCGGGTGCCTCACGATGGGGCCCTGCGCGCTGCATGGCTGAAGCGAATCGGCAATCCAGCAACTTACATCGGGGACCTGATTGTTTGTGGTCGACACTTTGCACCTGACGCTTACACGGTTGACCAGCGGCTGGGGCGGCAAACGGTAAACAACCACGCTTTGCAGCAAGTGGAAGTGCGTTGGGACTGATCGAGTTCGCCAATGACGCCAATCGCTGACGTGGTGTCCCGTTGCCAAAGTGGGCGGAGTCACGGCGATGGGTTTCGCCTTCCCCTTTATGAAAACGAGAAAGGGGGTGAGGCCGCGCAAAAATTTTGAACCAGCTTAAACAGATGTTCTAACCCCTGTAACCTCCTTATATAGCACGTATTCGAAAAATTTTCGCGGCAGCATGTTTGCAAAGAAAAACTGCACATATATCTCTTTTTAAAAAATTTTGGACCTCAAGGTGGTTTACTGGTCCTTTAAACGATAATGTTTCGCAATGAACTACGCCGTTCCACTGAATTGCGGTACTACCATGTCGAACCAGTCATCCTTGGCTAGTTCCATGCAGTATGTCGCTTACCCTAGCTACTCTCGCCATATGCATGGCAGTTCGCTTGCAGTCCACTGTATGCGCGTGTTCGTGCATTCTTCGCGCATGATTAACTCGAGAGCGTGTTAGGGTATGGCCGGTAGCCTGCTCCTTTTTTGTGAGCAATGCGCGCAAGCGGGCTCGCACGATGCTGCGACGGCGAAATTGCGAACGGCATCATGACGCGCTTGTAACACCACTCCGCCGAGCTGTTGTCTGCAGATAACTATGATAAGCTCGCAGACAGTCAAAATGGCATGTTCATCACCCGCCACCTTGCTATTGCTTTTTTTTATGCTTAGCCGTTGAGGCACCGCGGCGACCGCGTGGAAATAGTTATCACTAATTGACCAGTCTTTGCTCTGACCAAAGGGTGGAAAAATCGGTAACTATTTTGTTACCACGCCTATTCAAATCGATCACCGGTGATCGACGCTTTGGATCATCAATTTTAGCTTGTGAAATTTGTTTCTCATGCACCCAGCACTTTTAGTAGTTAGTCCAGCCACTCAACTTTCAGAATCAATAATTTGCTCGTTTTGGCAACGTAGTAATTTTTGACAGATCTTTGCGCGAACCAATGCGCGTGTATTGTTTGAAAAGTGCACTAGGCTGAAGAACTTGATGGAAGTGCGTGCACCTCGTGATTATGCTATAGTAACATCAGTTCTGTAATGAGAAGAACATTTGCAAGCCAAATATTGAATTAAATGTCAGCTTTGCAATTCGTTAAGCAGTAATAATTGTCAGAAATTTATGCCAGATATTCAATAGAGAGCTGTTCTAGGGAGTCGGAGAAAATTTGTTCTACAAAAAATATTTGCGAAGGTCCGTCCGCAGTGTTTGAAGGGTCCTAGGTGGCCTTCTCTGACACTTTCCAGAAGCTTTGGTTTTGCTTGCATCGTTATATCAGACTCGGGGTTGCATCTAGTGTCACTAGTCACTCATATGACGTCGTCATTCCACGTGCATGGGTGCTCACCAGCACTGCAAAGCACATGTCCTGTTCGAAACTGTCCAGCGACCCCACCTAAATTGAGTGAGGATGAGCTTAGAGTTCGAGGATAACAGCACCTCAGCTTCAAATTTTATGGTGACGATGCTTTGCATTAGCCTGAGACATCCGCAGCCGTTCATTGGTTTCTTTTGTTTACATCCCCAAGTTGTCTCCTCCATGGCAACTGCGTATAGCTTTTGCCCCTTGTGCACAATTTCATAGCTACTCTGGTTACGTGTGTGTTCCACACTTCACTGGAGGGCAGTGTGCTGGCGCTGGCTGCAGAGCTTCTAACGACAATGCCCCCGGAGCTCATCTTGGCCCCGACTACGGAGCAGTGTGAAACATTTTAGAGCTGCGCGCAATATTGTCCTTTATCTTAATAGGATATGCGCGAAAATGTAAATAAATATGCTTGGATGCACATATTCGAACGCCAACCTATGCAGATTGAGGTGGCTCATGGAAAGAGGTGACGCTAGATGAAATAGTAAAGTTCATTGGACACCTCATTCACAGAGGGATTATTCACACCACGAGTATCCATCGTATCCATCTATATAGAACACCTGGAGACTCTTATCGGAAGAGAACAAAAATTTACAGAGAAGTGTACGAGTACACCTGTATCTCATGAAAAATCGTGCAAAGTTTCACTGCATGGCACAAGCAACGAAGCATCACCTTGGTTCAGATTTTTTTGTCTATGTGAGACGTCCCCCGCTACGCCATCGATCGCCAAAGAGAGGGAAGAACACTCAACCCTTTTTCTATCCGGTTCCGTCTTGGCTACGTGTCTCAATCACTTTCCACATACAGGGATTCATGCTGGGGCCGGGAAGTAAGAGACGCTACGCCTTGTTCCTGTTTACTGATTCATTTAATTTATTACTAACTGCAAACATCGTATGCGTGCGTACATCAACCACTACACAAAATTATAACACTTGATTTACACACTCGCGAAGTGCGACGCAGGATACATAAGGGAAATAACTTTGACAATAAAATGGTGCGACAATACAAAGTAGATGCATCACGACACAAATGGTAAAGTCATTAATGAATAAAACCCGGCAATGTCTCAACACGCCACCTCCCTTTCCGCAAAGCTAATCTAAATAAGATGCATAAAGTCCGTCTCACGAAAGGTCATGTTGACGGGGGCCTCGGAGTTGGCTGTTCGAGTCGGGGCTCAGGGCTTCTTCCTGGGGTCATTGTTCGATTTGTCGGCGCCTTCATCGTCTTCGTCATCGTCGCCTTCGTCGTGCCTCTCAGTGATTTCCATCTTAGTCCTCTTTCGTAATGCTCCATTCACTCGCCTCCTATTCCCAACTTTCATTCCTCATCGTACCGTCCTTGCCCCAGTCATCATCTCATCGCCCCTCAATCGCTATCTCTTCGCACCGTTATCTTCCTTTTCCGTTACGTCTCTCTACCAGTCTCGAGCTTATCAGTATCGTATCTCTCTGACCCCCTTTGCATCGTCTCCTAGTCCCTTTTTGTAGGACCCGACTCCGCCCTACCGGGGCACCAAACCAATCGCCACTATCCACAGTGGCATATTTCTCCGTCAGTCGGTGTGTGTCATCTTCGACAGCCGCTCCCGCGGCCCGCACCAGTAGAAAACCCGCTCCTTACAGTCAGCGAAAAAAATTGTACCGCTCAGTTTGCGCAGATGAACGGAAATCAGCACCTCAGGGAAAATCATGCGCACCGCACAAAGCGAAGAAGGCAGACTACGCCAAGTGTGAGCAAAGGACCTCATTGCTCAGCGCATGTGTCACATGACGTACCTCAGGGTTGCTTGACAAAGTTGATATGTCGCTGGGTTGAAACTTTGCGCACTTCGTGTTCGCAGAAAGCATCGATGTAGTGGCAGGTGCGGCTAACTAAGAAAAAAAATCAATGGACTTCAGGCGCAGTAGCATCGCACGAGTCTTGTGGAATGGTCCGGCAGCGGAATTTTCGTTCCACTCCCAGTCAAGATTTCAAGTTATCTGCAATCTAACCCAAAAATACTTAGAGGTAACGGAAAAATATTCATGGGATGTATAGGAAAATGTTGGTGCTGCGGAAAATGTCCACATAGCCAATTTTTCGAGATATGCGAGTTCAAGTTAATGAGGTATTATTGTATATATTTTTCTATATGCATTAACAATGCGAGCGAGCAAAACTGAAATTAGCCGCAAGCTGCCATACTATTTGCAGAGCAATACGAGTGTATGGAAACCCCGCCTCTGGAGCCATCGCTCCACTGCCAAGATAAGTTGTTGTTGTGTATAGTTTATCCATTTGCTTCTGCTGACTGAGCAATATTACCAGGAAAACATTATTGCTCTACTCCTTAGTTCAAACACATCAAATAAGTCAAGGCTGTCACATTTAATTACTTTGAAGTTTATATTTGCCATTGCTGTCTGCTTGCTTGCAGAGCTTGGCAGCTTGACTGCCGCAGCACTGCTTGAAAAAGTGAAAGACCTGCAAAACCTTGCATACAAGCTGGGCATTGAGGAATGTAAGTAATGCCTCCCTTTTTTTTTAGTGACTATAGTAGTGCTATGTTCAGAATCCGCCACGCCTAGCCCTGCTGTTTGGCAGATGTGCATGCGACTAAAAACTAGTTGTGTTGGAGAGAATACATTGTAATACTTTTGCTTTCTGAGCCAAGTGCAGTAGGTTTGTTTTTGCCTGGAAATGAGCCTTTGGAAATGCCAACACAAATATTTTGCCTCATTGAGTTTTGTTTGTGGAGCCTGACCGTTAGAGGAATTAATTAGAAGAATAAGGATGCGGTGTAGCACATTCCGCAAGCATTACTAGTTCTTGAGTGGTAGTTTACCACTATACAACAGCTGCGTCTTACCGGTACTTACATAAAAAGAAGGTTCAACTTAAATTTAGGACAACGCAGGGAGCAGTGGAAAGGAAAATGATAGGCGTAACCTTAAGGGCTGTTCCACCCGCTTCCCGCACAGCTGCAACGCACGTGCCGGCACACCTGTCGCACGCAAGCAGAGGGTGAAAGAGAGTCACCAATTGACTTATTTGACCCCCGCTTGCGTGCGGCAGAGGTCCGGGCGAATGTGCTGCGGCTGTGCGGGAAGCGCATGGAACGGCCCTAAGAGATAGAAGAGCAGAGTGGATATGGGAACCAATGGGGGGTAGGACATTATAGCTGAAAACAAGAAATAGACATGGGCTGGGCACGTAGTGCGTAGGCAGAATAACTGCTGGTTATTAAAGGCAACTACTAGATTCCAAGGGAAGGTGAACACGTGAGGAGGAAACGAAGTTAGGTGCGGGTGCAACGTGGCGGCAGCAAGCACAGGACCGGTTGACTGATAAACATAGAGTAGTCAGGCTGATGGCGACTGGTTTTGCAGAATGTTTTTGTGAGTGTTTTGCTTTCTACCCAGAGGTGTCTCAGTTCCTGCTAGAGGCTTCTTGTGCTTCGGCACATGTAATACAGCTCTGCAAACACCACAAAACCGTATAGCTGTTCTAGGGTGCTCCTAAATAAAAGTTACTGAATGTTGCTTTAGGGTAATCCACAGTGTTGGCCAGAATTTGTGATGAAGTACCAGATCTTTATTTCTTCAGACAAAATGTGCATGAGCGATGTTGCGCCTTCTGTGCAAAAAATTATTTTGTTTTAGTTGGGTATTACTTCTTTAGTGCACACCACCTGTGTGAGGAAGCTCTCTGGGAAAGCATGTCATGCCTTTTTTGAATTGTCGGCAGGCTTTTTGCAACAACACCAGCTTCATAGGTCTATCAGAAATGTTTGCTTGAAAATGAATAGCAAGCGAATGTTCACACTATCGCACTGCCTTAGTGCTTCGGGAGGGCGGTGGCAGCAGCCGCGAGGATTCCCGATCAGACTTCGCGATCAGTGATTCCTGCTAGATGACACGTGACCGGGTCTGACTGGTTAAAGTACGCGCCAATTCTTTCATAACTAACAAGTACACTTCGTTAGTGCTCCAATTGATTAATTTTTATGTATATACTGTGCGTGTTAGGACTGTGACACAATATTTTGTATGCGCTCGTGAAATTCCCGCGTAATTTGCGCACCCCTTCTCGGGGACCCGTATTGCAAAAGAAAGTGCGCAAATTATGCGAGTAAGTATGGTATATTCTGGACAGACTACAATCCTTCTAATCCAAGGTGTGCGTTGGTAAAATTGTTATTAGCAATGGATTTGCCACAAAAACATTTTCGTCCAGGCTGAACAAGTACTGATAAAAGAAGCTGTAGGTGAGAAAATCCATTAGGTTTGAGGGTTCACATAACATCCAACACAAATGCCGTTAATGAAAGGCAGCTGCATTACTTGCCTTGTGCATTGGAATCTCACCTTTCAGTCTAATGGCATTGCATGCACTTGTACTGACTGTTGAAATGTTTCAGTAGAATCTGTCATGAATACACTTTCATACATTTAATTTTGGGGCTGTCAATCACTTGAATGCTGTGTTGTTTGCACCTTCAAAGGTGCTGCCATCATCCATTGTATCGACAGCATTGCACTTATCAATTAATGCACTTGCTTTGTATGAGTGGGCTATCTGTCACAGTCAGTGACTTTAAGTAAAGCCAAAATTAGTTACACGATTCAGCCTCCAAACAGGCCAATGTAGGTAGGCCTTTTTTTTTTTTTGCATGATCTGTGCACACATCACATAAAAATGCCAGTAGCTTGAATACAGGTATCCAAAGATATAGTGCATACAAGATGAACAAAGAAAATTACAAATACACAGTGCTAATGTTTGTGTGCATCACTTTTTGGGGGTTTAGGATGTGATATTGCTTTGGATGCTATGAATCTCCAACAATCCTACGGGCAACCTTACGCTCATCAGGTGATTAAATATTTATTTATTTATTTATTTATTAGAATACCCTCAGGGCCCGTAGGGCATTACAGAGGGGGTGGGTACAACATATATAACACACAAGAAAAAAGACAAAATAAAGAAACAAGTATCAGATGCGCAAATCAGGAAGGCAACATAAGTCAACTAAAAATGTATAAGAATTCAAGCACATACAAGACAAAGATAGATAATGAAAACTGCGTATAGTTACAAGCATTGCTGAGAAATTGCAGTCTTGAATAACAAAGGTTCTGTTATTGATACAACGGAAGAGGGAAGGTGGTTCCAATCGACGGCTGTTTTCGGTAAGAAGGCTGCTCAAAATAATTTGGTGCGGCAAAACGGAATGGCAACCTTATGCTGATGATCAATGCGCGATGAGTGGTATGACGGTTGTGAAATGAGGTCTCGCTTCATTGATGGATTGTGAAAAAATATCTTATGAAAAAAATGCAGTCGCGCCAGTTTCCTCCGGACAGTTAAATTGGGTAGGTCAAGGTTAGATTTCATTTCTGATATGCTAGCAGTACGGGAATAATTAGAACAAATGAACCGAACTGAGCGGTTCTGAACAGATTCTAACGCGTTAATTAAATTTTGCTGCACGGGATCCCATATAGCGGACGCGTACTCAAGCTTTGGGCGAATTAGTGATCGGTATAATAGAATTTGAGGGACAGCGGAGCGCGAGAAAAGTTGCGGCGTAAGTATCCTAGCGTTCGGTTAGCGTTATTACAGATGTAGGTAACATGCGTGTGCCAAGATAGATTGTTGGTAATGTAAACGCCGAGGTACTTATATGAAGAGACATGCTGGAGGGGAACGGCGTTAATTCTGTAGGTACAGGGGGAGAAATAGATCGCCGGGTTATTGACATGCATTTAGATTTGTTAGAGTTGAGAGTCATAAGCCATTTATTGCACCAGGTTGAGACAGTGTCAAGGTCTGACTGTAGAAATTGGTTATCATATTCATTGTTTATTTCGCGGTAAATTACACAATCATCTGCAAATAACCTTATAGCAGAGTTAATGCTGTCTGGGAGATAATTAATATATATAAGGAAGAGTAAAGGGCCTAATACAGAACCTTGGGGTACGCCGGATGTTACTTTAGAAAGAGGTGAGTTATAGCCATTAGTTGTCACAAACTGAGTGCGATTAGTCAGAAAGCATTCAATCCATTTAAGAATGTTCGGGTCAATGTTTAAGGTACTAATTTTCAGGAGGAGTAATTGGTGAGGTACTTTATCGAAAGCTTTTTGAAAGTCAAGAAAAATGCAATGCACAAGTGAGCCGCGATCTAAAGCCGATGCTATGTCATTAGTAAAATAAAGAAGTTGGGTTTCACATGAGTAACTTTTTCGGAATCCGTGCTGGTAGGGAGTAAAAAAAGAATTTGATTCTAGGAATGAGACAAGGTTGGAGTAAATTATATGTTCTAACACTTTACAAGGAACACTGGTTAGGGAAATTGGTCTGTAATTGAGAGGAGACTCTGTGTTACCAGATTTGTGCAGAGGGACCACCTTCCCCACCTTCCAGTCAAGCGGCAAAGTGGAGGTCTGAATAGATTGCGAAAAGATTAAGGACAAGTAAATTGATGAATACAATGCAGTGTTCACCAGCAAAGTATGTGGGATCTGAAAAAAAAAAGCTAAAGTTTTTTTTTTCTTTGGAAACCAGTGTAGGGGGTTTAAGGTGTTGTGGTGGGTAGGGTGCTCACACTAGTCACTGGGTCCAGGGAAGGTTTTTTGTAAATTTTCTGCTACAGAATAGAGGAGGAACGGTATACGAGAACAAGAGGGAGCAAACAGCCAATAATGTAGCTGAAGGGATTCAGAAATGCTTTCAACACATCAAGAAATACAGAATTATTATAGCTGAACATCAATATTGGCAGATATTGTTTTTCAAAGCTTGAGATTTAAGAGCATGATGATTTCAACAATTTTTTTGTGTTGCTAATGTCTTGAGTGGATGCTAGGTGGTGTTGCGATTCTATGAGCTATTCAATGGTGATTTTTTCAAACTGTCGTCATGAGTGAGCGAGGCCAGAACAGATTCTCTGGACCAAAGCACTTAAATTTCGATCCTGTCCAAGTCGTCTGGATGTCGTTTTGTATTTATTCTATCCACAGAACAGCCTTTCTGCTTGTTCTGTCTTGACCGTCAGATTATGCTCGACCAGCTCCCTCTTGTGTTCCAGGGCAGAGCATGTTGGTTCTGTTCCGCTCCCAGTGGTCAGTGCACCTGTCAAACGACATGTATTTGAGCTTGTCGTTTTCTGTTACGTGCAGGTACTCTTGTTCTCTTTTCAGCTCGTGAAATGACAAGAGGCCGCTTCCTAGACATTCTTCGCAAGGATAAAGGTGTGCGAAAGTGAAAAGAGATTTCCTTTATGCATGGACACTGAGTGTGTGAGATGGACAGCTGGATGGATTGCCTTTCAGAAGAGGAACAAGAGACGCTGGTGTGCAACGAGGACGACAAGTGTTTGGAATGGCGGTTGTGCATTGCATAAGAGTGCCCTGTTGCAAGACACTGTCGGGATCTGGAGCAGTGCAACCAGAGGACACCATTAGGCGTAGTGCCTTTTGCCTGTACAAATGGTTCATCTAGCCATTAACATCCATCAATGAGGTTAACTTTACACACCAGGCGTCGATACTAATTGTGTATTAAGTTGACAAGTTGCTAAATTTGACTGTAGCCCTATAAAGTTTATCTTTAAATGTAACTTATCGCCATTTCATATCAAGTGATACATGTGCTGTGTTTTCATTGTTCAGCAAAGCAAATAATGTGACATGTGCACACATGTTTCGTTGTACTCAATTGTGACTCGGCACAGCTGCCTGGTGGTTATGGTCTTGTTTCGATCCTGGCTTCACTGAACCTGGCCACTTTTTGAAAAGTTAAATGCTCAAAAAATTACATATGTAGATTTCGGTGTGCATTAAAGCGTCTCTTATGTTCAGTGTTGGTTACCATATGTCATTCAGCAGGAATCATGCCGGCAATGTACTGAATGGCTGAATGCCCTGAAAGCAGTGGAAGTTTCAAACAGAATGCCATGTGCAACATTCACTGCTTGCAGCATCAGTGACCGTGCATAGCTAAAGTTCGCAATCTGTAAAATTTGTGAATACCAAGACACTTTTGAAGTGGTGGCATCTTAAGGAAGTCTTGATCTGGCTTACAAATTTTTTCTTGTTTTTTAAATATTGGCTGCTTCAGTTAAACTAAACACAGTGTCGCATTTGAGGCTATAGTAAGAGCATGAAGAGGACAACACTAAGTATTGTTAAAAAATATCATTGCCCTACTACAAAGTATGCTAAACCATATATTTGTCTGCATAGGTCATTGCCGTTTTAAACGTAGTCGTTTCTCGAGTTAGTGAATGTTTGGTCTGCAATATTAAGTGTGTGTAAGATTAAGCATACAAAGGTAGCAGGGATGGGGGGCCACAAACTAGCACAACTCACTTGATTACAAAAGAGCCACCAAAAAAAAAAAATGCTAAACTTTTTTGCCTTAATATTTCTATTTATTTCAAAATCTCGCAGTGCTGCTGCAGGAAACACCCCAGTGATGGCTTTTTAATGGTCTACCATTCACAGCCTTCTAAAAAAATATTGAATGTGGTCTTCATATTTGCACATGCATTCCGTGAGTGCAGTGTGCAATATTTTGTTGGTGAGTAATGCATCTGTGTGTGTGATTCCCTATTTAGTATAGATGGTGTATACTATGTCACACAACGATAAAGCGCTGTATTTAGCTTTTTTTTTCTACGCAGCATTCAAACTGTTTCTATTTGGACTTGCCTCATTAGAGATTTTTGTTGCCATCTAATGTGAATATGTGCTGCGAATAACTGCCTTGTAGCCAACTTTCTTAGTGGCATGAGTAATGATTTCAAAAGTGCTGCAATCGTTCAACCACCATCGTAAGGATGGGTCATATGCCTATTAGGCATATGACCCATCTTAGTGCTTGTGGCTTTGCTTATTGTGGTGTATTGTCATTTGTTTCGGATACAAGATGGATAGTGGGGAACTTTGTGACCAGATTTGAATTAGTGAGGAACGGCTGCACGTTTGCTGAACTTTCTCTTGCGGCAAAGTGGATGCACGCTAGGTGGAGTGAAACTCAGCCGAAAGAACACAGTTTAGACAAAGCTGTCTATCCATGCTAGTGTCGTAGTTCCCTATAGTGCATTTATAAGAAACTCTATGCGAAGGCCTATCAACTTCGGGTGCCTGTCTTTCCTAGTCTTTTGTCTGTGTTTACTAGTGCAGTTGACCTTTTATGAGGCCTAATCTTGTCAACTACGCATGCCAACTGTTGAGGGCGGCATTGGCATTTGTATCAGCTTATAATGTGTACAAAATTTAAGCTCTTTGTAAAGGGTTTTCAAGAAAACAGTGGCGCATGTATCCCACTGCTTGCTGAAAAGGTCATTTCAGAAAAAAGTATTTCATTTTTTCTTGTAAACTTGCTACTGCCTTGCAATCAACAAAAGGCAGAGCCTACAAACACCACCTTCTCATCACAAAACAGTTGAATCTCCATTGTACATCCAGTCGCTATAAACAACACTTGAGCAGGAAATGTGGCCCCTGGCCATGCCTGCAACAGTAATCCGTGGAGGAAGCTCAACTGCTTCTTTCAAGGCAAGGCATGAAGCGCAATGAAAATTTAATTTTGCAGTCAGCTGTACACAGTGTTAGACTGGCTATGCTCATTGAATGGTTGTCAATTTTGTATTGCACAAATTTTTAAAGAACTATGAATAGGTGCAAAGAAAAGCGCTATAATAGCACACATAAGAACTGCAAAAATGAGATACTTTTGGAGCCTGTCTGTTAGGCTGAATCTGGTAGAGAGGGCTCCAAAAATTGATGAAAGAAAGAATACAGTGCATGCAAGCGTAACGGTTCATTTCGAATATGTGTGTGCTGCCACCTAGTGAATACTATCAAAACAACTATACTAAATTTGTTTTCTGGAATATCAATGCTGTGTAACTAAATGTTTGAAAGCAATTTTTTTGAATGGTTTCTACGTGAAAAATGAAAAAAAAAATTGGCAGATCCCACGGATTGTGGAAATGAATGTAACGCGATACAGACGGCAAGTCCCATTGCACAATAGACACTTTTAGTTGGGCGTATCTAATGATCCCGCATACGCAGCACTGCCATGGGAGAGAACTGCGTATGTGCAGTAAGAGATGGGTGCGTACGCCCGAGACAAGACGCTGCGTACGTAACGCAATGCTTACTACGTTACGTTCTCGCGACACCTCGAAGAAACCAGAATGAGAGTATATGGTGGCAGCAGTGGCGTTCGACGCAGACAGCAACAGCGGACCTGATGCAAGGCATGTGTATTTCACAACGAAAGACGATGTCTTCATGCCAGACAAGGTAAATTCAAGCGGCGGGTTCCGGCATCCTGATGATTCAGAAAAAATTCCTCGTGAATTGAAGGAAGTCCTCAAGAATTGTCTTCGATAGATTGTGTGCGGGAACGCGTCTCTTTCTGCTAGGCCTTTGGCGAATGAACCCGTAAATACCTTGGTACATACTTTTATTCATGGTGCAACATAACACGTGTTGGACGTTTTGCGTGCTTTCACTCTTTCCATGTGCCGGTAGGACATCGTAAGGTCATAAATACCTGGAATGCCATCACTTCCTGTGTGGTACGCTAAGCCCCATCCGCAGCAGCGCTGGATAGAACGCGGGGGTCGATCCAGTGCAGCCATGCCTGATCAGACGCTGTTCTTACATTGCGCACCCAAGTTCAATACGGCAAAGCTGAACATGCGCATTCAGTGCACTCAGGAACGATGCTAAGAATCTACACTGCGAATGCCACGGCCTGACGTGTACGCTGGTGGCCCTTACCCTCGCAGTCGGGATGTTTTTCATGCAGATCACAGAGGCCACGTTATTACTGGGACCACGGTACTGGGACTTGGCATACTTCTAACGTCGGTGGCACCGCTAAGCATTCTAAACCCATGCATCTCGCATGCGATTTATCTAATAAAGTGAAACGCATCAATGTACGTTAAACTAAAAGTGTTGTCACACACTTTGCTTGCACCGTACGCAATGTAATTTTCACAGTGTACACAACTTCATACGCCCAATTAAAAGTGTGTAATGAGTGCGTGAACGCGTAGGAGCGTTACTTTCGCTTCCACGGCTGTCGTCTGCTCGATGCACTGACCGCGGGGACACGAACACATTCGAAACGCCAGCACATTAGCCCCGCATCTCGTTGCAATTCACGTGAAACAATGAAAAAAAAAAAAAGACGTGCACATTTTATTACAGCTCAGTATTTATCTGAAGTTTTATTAATCTCTTCAAGCAACGAATTATGTAAACTATGCATGTCATGGTAATTAATTTTCGTCATGTCACGTGTTACTGTTGGCAATGTCTCAGCACAGTTGTCTACGTAAAGGACCAACGTCATGCCCTCGTTTTTAGGGCGCGCACCTGCGAAAGGAAGGGGGAGAAGCATTCATCTTGAAATTCGACCCATTTCCGCGGTGCGTAGCGTTGCAAACTTTGCTAGACACGATCGTGAACGCCCCATGTATGCATTGCGCTTGTCAGCTCAAAATTGTCAAACCTGGTGTGTGGCGCTTTAAAAACCGCCTTTAGCTCTAGTGGCACTTATTGCTAATGCATGCCTTTTTTGTTTGTTTGAAAGGCTTCCAAAAGTGGCTTCTACCCAGAATCTCAAATCTGGGCAGAATAGGCGAGGTGGTCTGACTCATACCACAAATAATTGGCTTGCAAATGTGAACTTCGGTTTAATAAATTAAAACTCGCAAGGCGTTCAAGCTTTTCAGAAGAACACCAATTCCTCATACTACGTCAGTCGGGCATTTCCAGTACATGGAGGCTCCGCCAGTACAGTAACGTGAATCGAGTGTGACGTCATCGCGACAACAGATAGTGTTGAGCGCTTTTAGTTTTTTTAATATTAAACCAAGGTATCTAAATTTAGTCGGCATGGTTCATTTTGCTTCGCCATGCTTATCCGCGGAGGCATTTGACCAATATGAGTCGAGGCCACGGGAACACGGGTCGTGTCGTCTTGCAGCTGCTCGCTTCGAAACTTTGGAGCCACGAAGAGCTGTGCTAGGCAGTCGACCAGCAGGTTGAAGAGCGCGGCCAGGACAATGGCTATCCTGAGCAATGCAGTGTCCCTGTCCTTGGGCCACCGAGGAAGGCCCAAGGCCAGGGAGATGGACGTTGCCCATGGGAACATGAGCGCTGTGGTCAAGGCCATAGGCAGCAGCACGCAGGCGACCACCACGGGCCTTGCGCCATGGAAGGTGGCCAGCTGTAGAGCCAGCAGGGGCAGCTGGTACGACGACAGGAGGCACAGCACGCTGGCGTCCAGTCGCCGCTGCAGCCGTTCGGAGAGGCGCTCGTACCACTCTCTGTATGGGGCAGAGGAGGCGACTTTCTCAAACATAATGTAAATGTTTCGTTCCAAATTACAGCTGGCCGAAAGTAATGAAATTACTTTTGCAAGTTCAGCTTTCATGCACGTTTTACCTACAGCACATGCGTATTGCAATCTGAAATCGTAGTTGCATTGACGAAGCAGCTGCTGCTCCATAGAGCACCAGAAAGCTGCCCTGGTTTAACTTTTTCTTTCCTTTCTGGTCGACTTTTTGTGCCATAAAAGAAGCGGACGAAATATACTTTAGTCATGAGTAATTGGTAACCACCGCCGGGAACGCACTCCCTCACCAGAGAAGGATTGGCCACCCTGGTGCAGTATCTGGCCACTACCTCCCACATGCATACGTCAAATAACTCACGGCCCTCAGTCCCCAGCAGCTGCGAAGCAACTGAACACGGCGGCGGTCAGATCTGCAACGCAGCAGAGGGTGCTAAGAATCTCTGGATCCGGACAAGCCGCCATTGGAACCTGAACTTGGCAACGTTTAACGCTAGAACATTATCTAGTGAGGGAAGTCTAGCTGTACTATTCGAGGA